GCCACACCCCCTGTCACACACAGAGCTGCAGGGTGATCAGGGGGTTTGGGCGCTGCCCCCTGTCATGCTGATCCCAGTGCCGGGAGGCCTCTCGGCTCCGCTGATCCCGGTGCTGGGAGGCATATTACCCTTTTACTATAAAGGATAGAGGCCTGGTGCATGTGTGGGGGCCGGCTGGTTTGCCCTGAGGGGTGTCCTGGACCAGGGTGGGGGTCCCCACTGGGGTGCCTGGCCAGCCTGGGTGAGGGGATGATGGCTGTTTGCAGCTGGTCACACACCCTTCAGGGTGGGGGTCCACAATGGGATGCCTGGCCAGCCTGGGTGAGGGGATGATGGCTGTTTGCAGCTGGTCACTTACCCTTCAGGGTGGGGGTCCCCACTGGGGTGCCTGGCCAGTCTGGGTGAGGGGCTGAGGGCTGTTTTCAGGCTGGCGGGTGACTGAAGCTCCCAACCGCTCCTTTTTTTCTTTTTCTTTTTTATTCTGGGCCAGCTTTTGCTCTGAGGCTCCAGCTCTTAGTCCTCCGCTCCTGAAAGCAGGTATCTGGTTTGTTTGGGTTCTATAATCGAAACAATGTATATCTCCAGCTCTGAAATCCGGCTCACTGAAAGCAGGTTTCTGGGGTTTTGTTTAGCTTCTATATTTGTTACAATGTTTCTTAAACTGCAAGCTCAGAGGCCAGCAAGGCAGGCGGGGAACGTTGGAGTCCTCCGTCACTGAAGCAAGCAAGCCTCATGTTAGTTTCAAGCTGCCTGGCTGCCAGCTGCCATCTTGGCTGGCAGTTAATTTGCATATCTCCCTGATTAGCCAATGGGAAGGGTAGCGGTCGTATGCCAATTACCATGTTTCTCTTTTATTAGATAGGATGAGAGAATTGATCAGAAGATAGTGAATCCATGCAAATGGCAACATTTAAGGGGATCTGTAATACTGAATGCAGTGGTTCTCAAAGTGGGACCCCCAGACAGTGGCATCACCTGGAAACTTGCTAGAAATGCAAATTTTCTGGACCCAGCTCAGACTTGCTAAACCAAAAATGTTAGGGGTGAGCACAGCTATCTGTGTTTTAACAAGTCTTCAAGGGAACCCTGAAGAAAGTTTGAGAGCAGTTGAGGTAAAGGATTTGAAGTCCTCAAACCATCCTGAATTAATTCCTCACTCTGCGTTCTTAGCTGAGAAAGTTTTGTCACTTTTGCACTTGAGAACTAACAATTTTCCTAGCGGGAGCCAAGCCACATTGTTGCTATGGGAACCAGAGTACAAATTTAGCATGGCCTTGGGGGTAAGAGTGTGGAGGTGAGGCAATCTTGGATATTGGTACAGAATAGTTAGAAATCTAGAAGTTGCCCTAGCCGGCTTGGCTCAGTGGATAGAGCGTCAGCCTGAGGACTGATGGGTCCCAGGTTCGATTCCGGCCAAGGGCACATGCCTGGGTTGCAGGCTCGATCCCCAGTAAGGGGTGTGCGGGAGGCAGCCGATCAATGATTCTCTCTCATCATTGATGTTTCTATCTCTCTCTCCTCCCTTCCTCTCTGAAATCATAAAGAAATATATTTTTTAAAAAAAAAGAAATCTAGAAGTTGTAGAAATTTGTTAATTTACATCACCTGCAAAATTGGAAGAATGTTTGTGGGAATAGATTTTGAGGTTGCTCAGTCAAGGAGCATGGTCCTTATTTTGGATAAGGTAAAATGTATAGTTGTGGCCTGGCTGGTGTGGCTCAGTGGTTGAGTGTCAACCTATGAACCAGGAGATCACATTTCTGACCAATGAACCTGGTCAGGGCACATGCCCGGGTTGTGGGCTCAAACCCCAGTGTGGGGAGTGTAGGAGGCAGCCGATCAATGACTCTCCCTTATCACTGATGTATCTATCTCTCTCTCCCTCTCCTTTCCTCTCTCCAAAAAAAAAAAAAAAAAGTGTCGATTTATGAACTAGGAGATCATGGTCTGATTCCTGGTCAGGGCACATGTCCAGGTTGTTTCTACCTCTCTCTCCCTCTTCCTCCCTCTCTGAAATCAATAAAAATATCTTTTTTTTTTTAAAAGAAAAGTATAATTGTGAGCACTTACCAGTGATTGTGTATTCAGTGTGTAACAAGCTAGGGAAAGATTGTTCAATGTAAACGTGTGCTGAACTTTGTCCCCCAACAAATTATATAACAAAAGGCAGAAATCCCTTAACAAGTATAAAAGAAGGAATTAAAAAAATTTCAGGAAATGGGGAATAAAGGTTTGGATAGATTATGCTCATCTAGTCCAGGCACCTCCTCACATATTTAATATGAATTTTTATTTTAGTAATAAAAAATATAGACTGGTATGGGCTAACAGTGTGCCTTTAGTGTAGATGCCAACTCCATTAAAGGTAGTTCAAGCAAAAAGGTAATTGCACCCACTTAGATGCTTGCAAATCATTGAAGGAGTTAAAGGAGTGTGGGGTGGTGAGTGTAGCATTGGAACTGTGAAGTTCAGGACTTTGATCCTCTGATAAAAAAAGCCAGTGTAGCCACTGCTATCTCAACAGCCACTTGACACATTAAAAGTTGTGTCTAGGAATTTTCTCATACTTGCTATTTTCAAACAAGAGAAATAGGAACAAAAAATTGAAATAAATTCAGCTACATTTTTATTTGCTTCCCATAAGTATAATCAATATTCATCAATATTTCCCCTTTTTAGGATCATGTCTGTCCACAAAACCAAATATTTATTTGAGCACATACTAAATGTGCTCAATGTGCTAAACACTTGAGGATCTCAGTCTGGTGGAGAAGAAAGATACCCAAATGATTAAAAATTTTAATTGATTATCACAGTCACTCCCCAATCAGCTGTGATAACTGGTATAAAGGGTTTAAAAGGATGAAGAATGTATGGTTGCTGCTATGCCATGGTTTATCTTCTTTCTTCCAACTCTGCATATGTGGGATAATATATTGACAATGGGGAATGGGGAATGCAAGGAACTCAAATGGTGTATCATCAAACAATGCTAATTAAGCAATCATCTTACACACACACACACACACACACACACACACACACACACCTACCTCAAAGGATATTGGCTTTATTTACCTTATAGTACCTGAAATTTCTATCTAGAAATATTTGCCAGACCACTATGGAGGATTTTTAGACGGATCTTGTATTCTCTTTCAAATTTAAGCACTTTAAAATTAGACAAATTTTAAAATCCCACCAAAGCTGTCCTAGGCCTTAAGATTTCCAGTAAAAACGAAAGCATAGAATTCAACATAAATACTTAGTGCTGTATTACCACGTTGGAAGAATTTTGCTAAATAAAGTATGGCACAAAGTTGATTCAGTCAGGACAAAGCACAAGTAACTTGTTGTACAGAAAAAATTCTGTAGTTACTCTTTTTTAAATTGAAGAATAATTTTCTTTTGTTATAGCAGACACTAAGATTTTGCAAAAGATGCATCAAATTTCTCAATCTGAGTCAACCTCATGGTTGTTAAAAGGATTGTTAAAAATGCATACTTTTTGGATTACTCGTTATTTTAAAATACTGAATTCTGCCCCATTGTCGGACCATATGTTCCAACTTTACTAGTAGGTTAAATAAATGGTCACACTACTCTTAACCCACAACTCCCTTCTCCCCACACCGTGGAACTTTCAACAAACAGAGATCTATGCCTCTCCTCCTAAAGTGGGCATAAGTGAGAGACACCGAGACCTAGTGTGCTTCACTTGCAAAGTTGCCTAATCCGTTTTCCACGTCACACGTCACTCAAATGCAGGGCTGCATTATGTTGCCTCTCAAGGTCCCTTGCATTTGCACATTTCTGCGATTAAAAAGAGTCTCTTCTTGGGAGTGAATTCACGTAAAGCCCATATATGACATTAGCTAGCTGAAGGCCAGGCCAACTGCAGGGTTAGAGTGAATCTGGTTTTTGTTTGAAAAATCTCCTTAGAGAGAGCATCCCACACCCGCATCCGAGTGGGCCCGGCACCACGTGTCTGCACCAACAGCCGGATTGGCCGAGCGGGTTTTATCGCTGCAGTCTAGACATGCAAGGTCCCGCCCAGCTGCCAGAAGAGCTGGGAAGCGGAGAGAAGAGGCCAGAGAAAGATCGCGGAGGGGAGGGGGGCGGGAGGGGGGTGGGGGATCCAGAGGCGTCAGCGGCCTGGAATCTGGGAGGGCCCGGAGCAGAGCCTGGCGGCTGCCTTGCCACAACTTGCCCAGATCAGACAGGCTTCAACCTACATCTTGCAAGGAGCCGGCTTAGCTGCTCCCGGGCCACTGTGGACCTGCCCGCGCTAGCAGCGCACCTGGGGTCTGGGTCCCCAGCATCGCCCCCGTCCGCTGGCAGCGCCCGGCGCCCGCCCAGGAGCGCACAGCTGGGGTGAGCCGAGGCCTGGGATGCGCCAGGCGTTCCGGGGAGTCCGCGGCAGATGGGGCATCTGGGTGTCCGTGCAGCCGGGTCCTCTTCCCGCTCCCCAGGCTGTGAGCAGAGGCACTGCAGACCCCGCTAGCATGGCTGCCGCAGCCCCCGTTCCCATTTGCCTTCAAAGGGGCGACACCAAGGCCCCAGGGGAGCCAGCGTCTCCCGACCTTTGTCTTTGCGGGTTCGGGAGCCTGCCCCGCTGGCGGCCCTGCTGGGGGATGGGGACAGAGGGAACGGGAAAGCGTGCCCCCTTCATTCCTGGTCCGGCCATCTTGCGGACCAGATTCAATCAAGGAGCGAGGATGGCCAGCCCCGTGGCGCCAGAGTGGGACCAGAGTGGCGGCGGCGAAAAGAAATGGGTGTCTCTGGCCCGCGTGCCTCCTCCCTAGACTGCAGTGGGGGCCTGTGGACAGTCTCCCACGTTCAGCTCCAAGGGCTTGGTCCTAGAGCGTGGCAGAAAATACAGGGATAAGGGGTGGAAGCTGGCATTCACTTTAAGTGCCTAATTCATGTGTTCCTTCTTTATCCACGCGTTCCTTCGGCGAATTCTTAACGCCTCTGCCTGCCTGTCTGTCCTATGCTAGGTGCTGGGAATATAACGGTGAGCAAGAGAGACCTCGGCCCTTGTTCCCGCTGATCCTGCAGCCCAGTGGATGGAGTCCACAGCCTACAGACCTGCCAGGTCGGTATCCTGATCCCCTTTGAACTGAGGCCTAGTAGTGCTGACATAACTTGTTCTAGGCCAGGCAGCAAGTAAATGGAAGACTCAAACTTTGAACCTACATCTTTAAGACTTTTATGCTGGGTGCAGTGAATCCATAATAGCTACCCCCCCTCCCCCGCCCTCCAGTTCCATTAAATGTTATTTGGATGTATGGTTTCTATGAAGTCATATGAAGCGTATGCTTGTTTCCTGGATGCTTTTATGTCGGCTTATTTGTAGTGACAATATCTGGAAAGTGGTAAAAATATTGGATATTACAGCTATGCTTCTGGTTACTCTGAATTGTATTTTTCTTTCCTCTGTTCTTTGGCTGTTAGGAAAGACAAAAGTTTTCCTGATGGTTGGTCCAAGCCAGGGCTCCCTGGTGGATTGAGGAATGTCTGGCTTTTCCTCAGCTCATTGATCTCTGTGGTAGCCACAGGCAGCCCTCAGAAGACCCCAAGAATGAGAGGCCCGAGGTCTACAAGTTGCTGCTAGAAATTTTGTAGCCTCTCCAAAAAACAGAATGCAGCTGCCACACAAGTTTGTAAGGTAGATACCAGAGCCCTGTAAAACTTGATGGTAAAGCTGATGGTTAAAGTTCCCCTCCATGTAATTTTTTTTTTTTTTTTACCTTCACATTTTGAAAAATACATCCTTTTGGAAACACAAAGTATTAAATATTTGGGGAAGTTTTTTGGTTTTTACTTCTATCAGAATGTTAACTTAGGTGGCCAATCCATAGAAGAAGAAAGAGTCCATTTTAAAAAGTATCTTTAATGTAAGAAATATAGAAAATGTATCATCAAATACAATTAACTACACCACAGATTTATTGAGGTATCCTATACAAAATGCACCCTTATTTTCGGTGAATACATTTGATGAATTTTGTCAAGTGTACATGCCTGGGGAATCAACAAAACAATCAAAATATAGAATATTGTTTATTATACTCCAAAGTGTCTTTGTGCCCTTTGGCAGGCAGTCCCCCTAATATCCCAGTTAATTTTACAGTTTCGTTGCTTAATGTTTTCTAAATTATGTGTAAAAAATAAGGATGAGTAGCTATTTCTGATCGCAAAACCTAAAGCGAAAATAGCAGTGAATAACCTGAGCATGGCAACTGGGACTCACAGGGCCCTGCGATGTGCATCCCTGGGCTTTAGGGACATGGCACGTCCTGCCCAAAGGCCAGGGAGGGTGGTACCCCGGGGAGCGGACGCTCAGGAGGTGCCCTCTCTGGGTGGACGCGTGTATCCACTCAGGCTCGTCCAGGAGTTCTTCTCTGGCCCCACAGGTCCCTGGGCGCTCGCTGACCACGAGGGGGGGCCGGCGCGCCCTTTGCTCCCAGTCCCCGGGGCCGGGGACGCTGCCATAGCAACGGCGGAGACGCTCAGAGCTTAGGCCGCTGCCTCCACCGCCGCCGCCTCCTGAGAGCTGGCTTTCTCCTGATCGTGAGGAGCGGGGCGGCGGCGGTCCGGGGGGCGGCCCGGGCCCAGTAGCCGTGTGCACCCCGTCCTCCGATGCCAGCAGAGGTGGCCAATTTGCTGCAAGCATGGTAAGAGCTGGAGGCCTGGACGCCGGGCTAGGGGCGGCCGCGGGAGGCGGGGCCGCGGGGCTCAGCTCCCCTGCCACTCCCGCTGTGTCTCCCTCCCACAGCCCTTCCACAAGCAGGTCTACTACCCACTCACCAACGGTCTCGAGGGTTCTGAAGCCTCCGGAGGGGCCGCGGCGGGCGCGGCCGCCATGGCCTGTTTCCCTCCCAGCGCGGCGACGGGTTCCCTGCCCTTCTTCCAGTTCCGGCCGCGGCTGGAGAGTGTGGACTGGCGGCGGCTGAGCGCCATCGACGTGGACAAGGTGGCGGGGGCTGTGGACGTGCTCACGCTGCAGGAGAACATCATGAACATCACCTTCTGCAAGCTGGAGGACGAGAAGTGCCCGCACTGCCAGTCGGGGGTGGACCCCGTGCTGCTGAAGCTCATCCGCCTGGCGCAGCTGTCCATCGAGTACCTGATGCACTCGCAGGAGTTCCTCACCTCGCAGCTGCACGCCGTGGAGGAGCGGCTGCACCTGAGCCTGGCCAACTGCGAGCAGAGCAAGGAGCTCCTCAGCAAGCAGGCCGGCGAGATCAAGTTCCTCAAGGAAGAGTGCAAGCGCAGGAAAAAGATGATCGCCACCCAGCAGATGATGATGGAGGCCAAAGCCAGCTATTACCAGGTGTGTTGTGATTATAATTCATAACCCCCCAAAACCTCAGTTCCCACTAGCTGGGATATTGATAGCCCTTTATATCACCTTTTTGTTGTTTGCTTTGTTTGTGTGTGTGTGTTTTTTTAAACATTTGTACTGTACATTAGAAAAACAGCATATTTAAATGAACCAAAACAGTAATGTTAACTAACAGATGACATGGTTCATTATTTTCTTCTAGAGTACCATAGGATTAATGATTAAACAAGTAACGTGGTCTGCAGTGCTTTATTTAAGCCAGGTACATGCTGGTTATTTAAGAAGCTGTTCCCTTTTCCTAATCCGAGTAATGAAAAATTTACCATGTACAAATTGCAACTGAGATCGGCCCCCCAAGATCTGGAATTATTACATTTGTGGATTTTTCTCATTTTTTTTTTCAAAATCTTTTCACATTTACAGAAAAGTTGCAATAATAGTGCAAAGAACTTCCATATAACCTTCAACCAAATTCATCAGTTATTTGCTTATTTCCTTTGCTTCTATACATATTATCGAACCATTTGACAGTAAGTTGCAGACTCCTACATATTTCAATGTGTATATTTCCCAGGAACAAGAAAACTCACTAATATAACAAGAGTATTTAAAAAAAAAAAAATTTCTTTTCTGTTGTTAATCTTATTTCTAAGGCAGAGCCTTTGTGCAAGAAATAGGATTTCTAAACCTCTTGCTACTTCTCATTGAAAAGCATGATCTGGCTTTTATTAAGTTTCTAATTACTGTAAGATCTGTTATAAAGCACAGTGATGGTAGATCAGATAGTGTTGGCTTTGGGGCCTGACAGACCAAGTTGTTGATGTGTATCAATAATTTATTTTTTAACTGGCTAGTATTCCATTGTGTACATGTATCAAAGTTTGTTAACCTTTAACCTTTGAATGATGTTTTGCCTGGTTCCAGTGTTTGGCTATTATGAATAATTCTGATATGAACATTCACGTGCAGGTTTTTATGTGAACTTACGTGTGAGTGTTTTCTATAGAAATTTTAAGTTCACAGCAAAATTGAGGGGAAGGGAGAGAAAGTTCCCATATACTCCCTTGCCCCCACACATGCATAGCTTCCTCCATTATCAATATCCTCCACCATAGTGGAAATTTATTGCAATTGATGAGCCTATATTGACACATCATTATCACCCAAAGTTCATAGTATACTTATGGTTTGCTCTTGTGTTGTATATTCTATGGGTTTTGACAAATGTTTAATGACCTATATCCATCATTTTGGTAGCATATGGAGTATTCTCATTGCCCTAAAAATCCTCTGTGCTCTGCCTATTCATCCTCCTTGCCTTCCAAACCTGGCAACTACTGATCTTTTTACTGTTTCCATATTTTTGCCTTTTCCAGAATGTCCTATAGTTGGACTCATACAGGATATAGCATTTTCATATTGGCTTCTTATATTTAGTAATATGCATTTCAGATTTTTAAAAAAATGTGTTTGTATTGATTTTAGAGAGAGAGGAAGGGAGAGGGAGAGATAGAAACATCAATGAAAGAGAAACATTAATCAGCTACCTCCTGCATGCCCCCTACTGAGGATCTGGGGCATGTTCTCTGACCGGGAATCAAACCCAGGACCTCTTGGTACATGATTAATGCTCAGCCAACTGAGCCATACCGGCCAGGCCATTTCAGGTTCTTCCATGTTGTTTCAAGGTTTGCTGGCTCATTTCTTTTTAGTGTTGAGTAATATTCTGTTATCTAGATGGACCATAGTTTATTCATTCACCTACTGAAGAACACCCTGGTTGCTTCCATGCTTGGGCAAATATTAAGAAAGTTTCTATAAACATCTTTTTGAAGGTTTTTGTGTGGCCATAAATTTTTAACTCCTTTGGGTAAATGACAAGGAACGTGATTGCTGGGTTGTATGGTAAGACTGTGTTTAGTGTTGTATGAAACTGTCAAAGTGGCTCTACCATGTTGCATTTCCATCAGCAGTGAATGAGAGTTCTGTCTGCTCTACATTCTCATCACCATTTTGTCAGTGGTCAATATTTTGGCCATTCTAATAGGTGTGTGGTGGTATCTCATTGCTTAAATTTGCATTTCCTTGATGGCATATTATGTGAAACATCATTTCATATGCTTATTTGCCATCTATATCTTTTCTCTGGTGAGGTGTCTTCTAAGGTCTTTGGCCCATTTTTAGTTGGGTTATTTGTTTTCTTCTTGTTGAGTTTTAAGAGTTCTTTGTATAGTTTGTATAACACTTCTTTATCAGTTGTGTGTTTTGCAAGTATTTTCTCCCAGTCTGTATTTTGCCTTCTCATTCTCTTGACATTGTCTTTTTCAGAGTAGTAGTTTTTAATTTTAATGAAGTTCTACTTATCAATTATTTTTCCATGGATGTGTATTTGGCATTGTACCTAAGAAGGCATCACCATACCTAAGGTCATCTAGGTTTTCTCCTATGTTATTTTCTAGGAATTTTATAGTTTTGCATTTTACATTTAGGTCTGTGATAGATTTGAGTTAGATTTGAGTTAGATTTGCATAGGGTATCAGTATATAAGTTCTGTGTCTAGATCCATTTTTTCCTTTATATATAGATGTCCATTTGTTCCAGCACCATTGTTGAAGAGAGTATCTTTGTTCCCCTGTATTGCTTTTGCTTCTTTGTCAAATAGCAGAAGACTATATTTATATAGGTTTATATCTGGGCACTCTATTCTGTTCCATTGATTTATTTGTCTATTCTTTAGCCAATACCACAGTGTCTTGATTACTATAACTCTATATAGCAAGTCTTAAAATTGGGTAGTATCAGTCTTCCAACTTTGTCAATATTGTGTTGACTATTCTGGGTCTTTTGCTTCTTCCTATAAAGTTTAGAATCAGTTTATTAATATTCACAAAATAACTTGCTGGGATTTTGATTGGGATTGCACTGAATCTATAGATCAAATTGGGAAGAACTGGCACCTTCCCATTTTGAGTCTTCTTATCCATTAACATGGATATTCATTTAATTAGTTCTTTGATTTTGTTCATCAGAATTTTGAAACTTTCCTTATTTAGATCTTGTACATATTTTGTTAGATTTATACCTAAATATTTCATTCTTGGAGAGTGCTGATATAAATGGCATTGTGTTTTTTTTAATTAAATCTTTATTGTTCAAATTATTAGTTGTTCCTCTTTTTTCCCCCCATAGCTCCCCTCCACCCGGTTCCCACCCCACCCTCTGCCCTTACCCCCCACACTGTCCTCATCCATAGGTGTACGATTTTTGTCCAGTCTCTTCCCACACCCCCCAAACCCCTTCCCCCACTGAGAATAGTCAGTCCACTCCCTTTCTATGCCCCTGATTCTATTATAATCACCAGTTTATTCTGTTCATCAGATTATTTATTCACTTGATTTTTAGATTCATTTGTTGATAGATGTGTATTTGTTGTTCATAATTTTTATCTTTACCTTTTCCTTCTTCTTCCTCTTCTTAAAGGATACCTTTCGGCATTTCATATAATACTGGTTTGGTGGTGATGAACTTCTTTAGCTTTTCCTTATCTGAGAAGCTCTTTATCTGACCTTCAATTCTGAATGATAGCTTTGCTGGATAAAGTAATCTTGGTTGTAGGTTCTTGCTGCTCATCAAGTTGAATATTTCTTGCCCCTCCCTTCTGGCCTGCATAGTTTCTGTTGAGAAATCAGCTGACAGTCGTATGGGTACTCCCTTGTAGGTAACTGACTTTTTTTCTCTTGCTGCTTTTAAGATTCTCTCTTTGTCTTTTGCTCTTGGCATTTTAATTATGATGTGTCTTGGTGTGGTCCTCTTTGGATTCCTTTTATTTGGGGTTCTCTGCACTTCCTGGGCTTGTAAGCCTATTTCTTTCACCAGGTAGGGGAAGTTTTCTGTCATTATTTCTTCAAGTAGGTTTTCAATATCTTGCTCTCTCTCTTCTTCTGGCACCCCCCATAATTCGGATGTTGGTGCGCTTGAAGTTTTCCCAGAGGCTCCTTACACTATCTTCATATTTTTGGATTCTTTTTTCTCTTTGTTTTTCTGGTTGGGTGTTTTTTGCTTCTTCGTATTTCAAATCTTTGACTTGATTCTTGCGATCCTCTAGTCTGCTGTTGGAACTCTGTATAATATTCTTTTTTCAGTCAGTGTATGCTTAATTTCTAGTTAGTCCTTTTTCATATCCTCGAGGGTCTCACTAGATTTATTGAGGGTCTCACTAAATTTATTGGCGGTTTCTAGAAAATTCTTGAAAAACCTTATAACCGTGGATTTGAACTCTGTATCCAGTAGTTTGCTTTCCTCCATTTCTGTCATTTGTGATCTGTTCCTTTGTCTCCGCATTTTTTATGCTTCCCTGTGTTGACAGGGTGGCTTTCTGTGCTAGGTGTCCTATAGGGCCCAGTGGCTCAGCCTCCCCAATTACCTGAGGTGGACACTCTTAGTGCACCCCTTTGTGGGCTTTGTGCACAGTCTTGTTGTAGTTAAGCCTTGATTATAGTTGGTATCACTGGGAGGAATTGACCTCTAGGCCAATTGGCTGTGAGAATCAGCTGTGTCTATGGTGGGAGAACTTTTGTGCTGGAGACACCCCTACAGGGCAAGACTTGCTTGAGTGGGGCTTTGGTGCTCCCTGAGTCTGCCCCCTGAGTGTGTCCCTTATGGATCTGAGGAGTTGTAATCTGGATGGTCCCACTCTGACCACTGGGTACACTGGTTCTTGGATCTTTAAGGAGGTGCTAATATAGCCTCTGCCTGAGGCTACCCAGCAGGAGTTATGGAGATCTGCAGATTCCTCTTCTTTGTTTGGGATTTGGAGGTGCCCAGATGAGGCCCAACTGTGAAGCAATGCAAGCTGCTGTAGGGCCTCGGGCCTTCTTTTGGATATTCTGGGTCTCTCTGACCCAGCTGCAGTTTGTTAGGTAATTTTCAGATTGCAAAGGGCCAGGCCTTTCATATGCAAAAGCCTCTGTGCACAGCTTGGGTGGGGCGGGGTCTCAGGGAATCAACAGGATGGAGCAAACAGCTATGGCTGATCCTCAGTCCTACCCTAAGAGGCCCTGCGGCTCAGTGTCCTGTGGTAATCGCTGCAAGCACCTCTGAGAGAAAGCCGCCCTCGAGTTCCGACCGATGCCAGACAGTCCAGTTTCTCCCCGTATGATTCTGGGTCCCCAGAGACCCCCCTGGAACTGGAGTTCAGTTCAGTAGGGAGCTTGAGACTCCCTCCTGATTGAAAAAGACAATCGCGTCCTCAGTTGCTAGCCCTTTCCACGTGCGCCTCTGTACCTCTGTACTTTACTTCTGCACCTCCTCTGAGTCTCAGTGTGCTTTTCTCTTTCCTTCTAGTTGTAGAATTTCCTCTCAGCCAGCCTTCCTGTGGTTCTGGATGATGTCTGTTTTGTCTTTTAGTTGTATTTTTGAAGTGGTTGTGCGAGGCAGCAATTTCAGGTGTTTACCAAGCCGCCATCTTGGTTTCTCTCCGATGGCATTGTGTTTTTAATTTCAAATTTCACTTACAATTGTTAAAATATAGAAAAACAGTTGACTTTAGTATATTAACCTTATATTCTGCAACTTTAAAATACCTGGTTATTAGTTTTTGGTCAATTCTTTTGGACTTTCTACATGGACATGTTGTCTGCAAAGACATTTCTGTGTCTTCCTTATCAGTCTGTATATCTTTTATTTCATTTTCTTGTCTTATTACATTGTATGGTGTTGAAACGTAGTAGAGAGGGGATATCCTTGCCTTGTACCTGATCTTAGTTGGGAAGCTTTGAGTTTCTCACCATTAAGTATGATGTTAGCTATAGGTTTTTGTAGATAGTCTTTATTAAGTTGAAAGTTCCTCTCTCCCCTGGAATTTTCAACTCTCAAAACATCCACTCTCATCCTCAAGCAGTTTGTCAATTACAATTTAGGTTTTCTTACCCTGCACTGGTTCCTCTGGGGCTTTTTGCCGCTGAGTCTCTGCTCTGGTAAACTGTGACTCCAGGTCTCTCCAAGCTTGGGCAGTGGTTTGCCCTGTGTTCTCCCTTCTCTTACAGATCCCAGAAGAGTTGATTTTTCAGTCTGTTCAGCTTTTTACTTGTTGTTAGGATGGAGTTGTGATTTTCAAGCTCCCTACCTGCCCATCCAGAAACTGTAAACCTCTTAGATTTGTCTTGTTGTTTTTTTTTGTCATACAGAAGTTTCATCATACAGTAGTCAAAATGTCAGTCTTCTCTGTTTGGAATAGGAATCTCTTCTGAGCTCATGACTGTTGTGTGTTATTAAAATAGTTAAAATATTATTTTCATTTTTGGAAATTAAAAGTTACTTCTAGGACAGTGGTTCTCCACCTGTGGGTTGCGACCCCTTTGGCGGTCCAGTGACCCTTTCACAGGGGTCACCTAAGACCATCCGGCATATCAGATATTTACATTATGATTCATAACAGTAGCAACATTACAGTTATGAAGTAGCCATGAAAATAATTTTATGGTTGGGTCACAACATGAGGAACTGTATTTAAAGGGCCAGAAAGTTGAGAACCACTGTTCTACGATTTCTCATCCCCCCCACCCCCACCCCCTCACCCTCCCAGTGCTGCGCATAGCCCCAGAATTCACACTTACACCTGAGTTAATGTGGGAAGTCTCTAAAATACTGTGAGACAACTAGAGCATTCATCATAAGCAGAAAAGGCTGAAAAGATTCTTTGAAGATTCTCTGAAATGAAATGCTAAGAAATATACCATAACACTAGTTTTCTGGAACGCTAGAACCTGACGTTGTGATGCAGCCATACTAAGAGTAAGGCAGTACAGGAGGAATAGAAGAACATGTAAATAGCACAATGGAGATGAAACAGCAGAATCCAAACTGAGAAAATCTGCAGGACAAATGTTCAGTTTCTTCAGCAGAAGAATTGCAAGGAAAAAAGAGACGGAGCAGCAATCTATAGACTAAAAGAGAATTAAGGGATGTAACAATCAATTGCAAAATATAGCTTTATTTTTGTCCTGATTTAAAACAAACTAAAAATCTTTTCTAAGACAATGTGTGAAATATTGGGGAAAATAAACAAATGGTTGGATATTTGTTGAATATAAAGGAATTAATATTCATGTTTTAAAAGGTAGAATAATGATATTATGATTGTATTAAAAGAAAGTCCTTTTATGCCATGACCAGTGTGGCTAAGTGGTTTAAGGGTAGGCCTGGGTACCAAAGGCTCACAGGTTTGATTCCCAGTCAAGGGCACATACCTGGGTCGCAGGTTCTCTCCCTGCCCCAGTGTGTGTGTAGGGGTGTATAGGGGGGAGGAGGTGGGGGGGGGGTGGGAATGCAGGAGGCAACCAGTCGATGTGTCTCTCTCACATCAATGTTTCTCTCTCTTTCTCTCTTCCCCTCCCTCCCTTCCACGCTCTCTGAAAAGCAATGGAAAAAATATCCTCAGGTGAGGATTAACAGCAACAACAAAAACAACCGCCCAAAAAACAAAACAAAACAAGGAAGTCCTTTTAGAGATAAATTCTGAAATATTGACAAATGAAATATGTAATATCCAGGATTTATTTCAAAGTAATCCAGGGGTGAGGATATAAATAAAACAAGTTGAATTTTTGCTTAAATTTTGAATCAGTGTTTAAATGGAAAATAGAGATCTGGTAGAATTGATTTTCCCCCGGTAAATTCATTTTAGGAGGCCAAATATTTCTACAGCATTTGTTTAATTATTTATTAATGCTGGGCTCCGGGGACAAAGCTGTGAATAATACAGACAAGAGTCAGTGCTCTTAGGAACCCAGAGGTATTAGGCAGGAGAAATAAACAAGTGAATAAATGTGCAGATGTTAACTAGTGAGATGCCCAATGATGAAAATAAGACAATGTGACGGGACAGTGACTGGCAGAAGGACCATCCTCGAAGATCTTGTTGAGGACGTGCCACTCATCCCCAGTGTGGAAAATGCTTCAGAAACGACATCCTGAATGTCAAATAGGGGTCAGTCAGGGGAAGATAGAGGAAAGGTTCAGGCAGGGAACCAGCCCATGCAAAGGCTCTGAGGTTGGTCCACTTGAGAGACGAACAAAGACTAGCATTGCTGGAGTGTCCCCACAAGGTGGTGGTGATAGGCTAGGCACCACAAGTCTAATGGGAGCAGTGCTAGGGGTTCCAGAAAGCACCATGATGGGCTACTTTAACTGTTCAGTGATAGTTTCCAGACGCCCTTGTTTTATATTTGTCTTTTTAGTCATACTTTCAGTATCCCTTACCAGGATGAGATCTTTTGGGGGAAAGCCCCCAAGAGGTAGTGCTCCCGGTGCCTGGATTTTAATAGACATCAGGTGAAGGACACTCGTTAAGGCCACGTTGATTTGTTACTGTCTCCTTTTCAGTGCCATTTTTGTGACAAGGCCTTTATGAACCAAGCCTTTCTACAAAGTCATATTCAGCGCCGTCACCCTGAAGATTCTCACCTTGGTAAGTAATGAGCTCAACTTTAATGAGCTGTTTTCTTTCTGGTAATTTTTTTCTTTTTCCAGTGCATTTCTCAATCCTTTTAAAAGAAAGTATCGCTGTCCTTGTCCATTCATGAAGTAAATATTGAGCCCCTAATGTGCCAGGCACTGTACTAGGGCTGGGGATACAGCCCCAAGTGAAACAGACTCACTCCTGCATTCTAATGGGAGGGACAGAGGAAACACACTTAAATGAATGAGTGATTCTTTTAAAATGGTGGCAAGTGCAATGAAGAAAATAAGTCATGAGGATGGGATGGAGAATGACTCTTGGGTAATCAGCAAAGGCTTCACTGAGGAGGTAATATTTGATCAGAAACCACAATGATGAGTAGGTCCCAGTCTGGGGAGAATCTGACAAATGAATGTTCTAGGCCAGGGGAACTCTGAAGGTGAGAGATATGAGGGGGAGGTAGGACAGTGTGTTTGAGGACCAGACAGAAGTTTGGTAGAGTAGAGTGAGCAAGACAGTGATATGTGGTGACATTGAGAGGAAGAGGCCAAGTCCCTTGAATGCCCTGAGCAGGAATGTGGGTGTTTTTATAAGCATAATGGGAAGCCATGGGAGGATTTTAAGTATGGGGGAGACACAATCTAATTTGTACCTGAGAATGACCCCTCTAGCTACTGGTGGAGCATAAACTGTAGGGGCAGTGGTAGAAGCAGGTAGAAGAGTGAGGAGGCTGCAAGAGTAGCCGAGGTGAGAGAAGATGGCAACTGGACCACGATGGTACCAGGGAAGATGGAAGAAGTAAAGATAGAGAGGGTATATTTGAGGTACAGCCCACAGAGATGAAGCAAAGCTGATCCTGGGTTTTTGCCTGAATGTTTGGGTGAATGGCAATGATGTTTTCCAAGAGGGGAAACCTAGGGGCAGGCGGCAGGTTGAGGGAGGCAGGAGAATGGAGAGTCTATGTTGGCCATGGTAAACTTTAGTCACACATACGATTGCCATGCAAGTGAAGATGCTGGAGGTCTGGAGGTCAAGGTGGAGGCCCAGGCTGGGGATAGAAACATGGGAGTTGTTAGCAGAGCTCGGTTGGGTAAGGTCACCTAGACAGAGAAGAGAGGGTGGCTACGGGCCAGCTCCAAGGCTCTCCCAGTAGTTTATAGCCCTGTCAACAGGTTATGGCCTGAGTTTGCATTTTGGGAGCTCAGGAGGAACAGCTGAGGAGAGTTAGAAATAGCAGTTATGGAGGCAGGAGAGAAACTCGTGGAGTGTGTGATCATGGAAACCAAGGGAAATAAGTGCTTCAAAAAGGAGACACTAGTCAGTTGTAGCCAATGTTCCTGAGACACAGAGTAAGATGAAGGCTGAGAATTGATTGTTGTTATCACTATGGCTGTTGGGGAACTTTGACATAGTAGCTTGGGTGGATGGGTGGGGACAAAATTCTGAATGGAGTAAGCTGAGCTGAGAGCCAGGCGAGGACATGGTCATGTGGATTACAGACATTTATGTCCATAGTGTTTTCTGGGAAGGAGAGCAGCGACATGAGGCATTACCAGGAGGGAAATGTGGGATCGAGGGGAAATGTTGGTTTTGTTTGATGTGGGAGATACTCAGATGTGTTTGGATACAGATGTGAGTTAACCAGTGTGTAGAAGGGGAAACTAAAGAAGCAGGAGAGGGAAAGGGTTCTGTGGTTTATCAAGGAACCAGATTTCCTGGTACTTAAATGTTCTCTAAAGTAAGGAATGCAACATCTAAGTGTCCCCAAGCAGATCAAAGCATTCTGTAAACTGCTACCGGAATCCACAGAAATTCTTATTATAATCTTACATATTTTTAGTATCTAGATATGTGTACTTCTAGCTTGTTGCTCAGTGCCTACTTTCCTTTCCCTTTTGGGCCAATCTGTTTCCATTTCTGCCATTTTTAGGTAAATAGATTTATTTAGGAATTAGCTAAGCTTTATGTAAACAATATGAACAGTATAACATTCCATTTATAAACCATGGTCTACTAATAGAATTTAGCAATATATTGGAGAAATTGGAAAGATTAAATATTTTAATTAATCTACCATTCTTCAGTGTGAAACTGACTTTCTTTCTCTTCTGTTTCAGTATCTTATTCTATCTCATACTCGTTTCAGAGAGCACTTCACACTCTGAAATGAGTATTATTTCTTCAGGTCATCTTTGAGATTCTGACTTTCTACTTTGGTTTCCATACCTTTCATGTCTACTCTCACAGACACATGTATATCCATTCAGTCATGTGTACATCTGCATGTAAGTACATGTACATAAATATTCCTCCTTTCACTTGTTGCTTCCTTTTACAACTTTTCAGTACCTCGCTTTTGCCCCATCGACAGGTTATGGCCCGAGTTTGCCAGCCTCTTCTTGTTTTAGCACTACAGGGGTCCTCAGGGGAGTTCGGTGGGAGCAGAAGGATGGCGACCTCAGAGATTTCACTGTGGTGGTACCTGCAGGGAAAGCCATCGCTCCCCTTCTCTGATTGAGACAGGCACCTCGAAGAAGGGCCCAGGGTTATTCCTTGTCATCATTAATGCTCCCTGAATGGGTGCTCATACTGTCTCTGTGGGATAATCCAACCTCCACAGGGTGGCTGGAAGAATCTGCTAAAAACAACTCAGTGCCCAATAATCCAAAGGACTGCAAATAAATGCTAAGTAGCAAAAATTGGCTCATGTGGCAGAGAAAAAGTAGTCTCCCAAGTAAGAGCACTTTCCTTTGTCTTATCAATAGAACTCTACCCCATAGTTTTCAGATAGGTTTCATATACATAGGTTTCGTAGTTTAACAAGATGTTTCTGTTGCAACAGAGTATAAGAAAAAGGAACTGACCCATAAGCTCCAGAATGAGGTGGACATGTTGAAGGAGCAGCTGCAGCTCACCAAGTCTCAGTTAGAGGCTTCCCAGCACGCCCACGCAGTCAGATTCTCTGAGGTATGAGACCAAATTTCCAAACAATGGTCTGTGGGGAAGGATTGGCAGTAATTCCTTTTAAATGTTTTGTAGAATTCACCAATGAAGCCATCTCGTCCTGGGCTTTTCTTTATTGGGAGTTTTGTTTGTTTGTTTGTTTTAGGGTGTTTTTTTTACATTTTTTAAAAAATATATTTTTATTGTGTTCAGAGAGGAATGGAGAGGAGAGAGAGAGAGACAGAAACATCAACGATGAGAGAGAATCACCAATTGGCTCTCTCCTGTATGCCCCCTACTGGGGGGATTGAGCCCACGACCCAGGCATGTGCCCTGACCGCTGGTTCCTGGGTCGACGCTCAAACACTGAGCCATGCCAACTAGGCTGTTGGGAGGTTTTTGGTTACTGATTCAATTTTCTTACTCCTTATTGCTCTGTTCAGATTTCCTATTTCTTCACGATTCAGTCTTGGTGTAGGTATGCATGTTTGAAGGATTTTACCCATTTCTTCTAGATTGTCCAATTTGTTGGCATATAATCGTTCCTGGTAGATTCTTATTATCCTTTGTAATTCTGTGCTATCAGTTGTAATGTCCCCTCTTTCATTTATAATTTTATTTGAGTCCTCTCTCTGTCTTGGTTAGTATAGCTAACGGTTTCTCAATTTTTATTTTTTCAAAAAACCAATTCTTAGTTTTGTTGATCTTTTCTGTTTTTTTCCTATTCTCTATTATATTGATTTCTGCTCTAATCTTTATTATTTCCATCCCTCTGCTAACTTTGGGCTTAGTTTGTTTTTGTTTTTTTAATTATTTGAGGTGTAATATTAGGCTGTTTATTTGTGATTTCTTTTTTAATATAGTTGTTTTTAGCTATTAAAATTTCTTAGAACTGCTTTTGTTGCATCCCATAAGTTTTAGTATGTTACTTCCATTTTCTTTCCTCTCAAGATATTTTTTTTTAAAGATATTTTTATTGATTTCAGAGAGGAAGGGAGAGAGAGAGATAGAAACACCTACGATGAGAATCATTGATTGGCTGCCTCCTGCGTGCCCCCTACTGGGGATTGAGCCCACACCCAGGCTTGTGCCCTTGATCAGAATCCAACCTGGGACCCTTCAGTCCATAGGCCGATGAGTGGACCGGACCCTTCAGTCCACTGAACCAAACTGGTGAGGGCTCAAGATATTTTTATTTCCTTTTTTGTATATTCTTTGATTTATTGGTTGTTCAGAAGTGTGTTGTTTAATTTTCACATATTTGTGAATTTTCCAATTTTCCTCCTGTTACTAATTTCTAGTGTCATACCACTGTGGTCAGAAAAGATGCGTGAGCCCTGGCTGGGTAGCTAAGCCCGTTAGAGCATCGTCATGATATGCCAAGGTTTCAGGTTCAATCCCTGGTCAGGGCACATACAAGAATCAACCAATAAATGCATAAATAAGTGGAACAACCAATCGATGTTTCTCTCTTTCTCTCCCTTCTTCTCTCTCCCTAAAATCAATTAAAAAATTTAAAAAGATGCTTGATATAATTTCAGTCTTCTTGAATTTGTTAATACTTGTTTTGTGATCTATCCTAGAGAATGTTCCATGTGCACTAAGAATGTGTGTCTGCTGCTTTATCTTCTGTATATGTCTGTTAGGTTCATTTGATCTATAGCAGCAATTTTCAAACAGTGTGCTGCAAGAATTTTTAAAACATGCAATATGCAATACCTAGCTATTTAGTCAGGGGCACTGACCTCTTTTCCCTTAGATTGTCAAATTTTAAAAAAAAATGACAACAGCCAATACAACACTAGCCATCTGGTGTGAATGAATTAAAATTATACCTTTTTTTCTGTCAGATCGGGAAAAACATATATTTTTTGGTGTGCCACAGAATTTTAGTAATCAGTTTATATGTGCCATGAGATGAAAAAGGTTGAAAATTGCTGATCTATAGTGTTGTTCAAATCCTGTTTTTCTTCATTGATTTTCTATCTGGATGATCTATCCATTGTTGAGAGCAGGGTATTAAAATCCTCTATGATTGTATTGCTGTTTATTTCTCCTTTTTGTTCTATTTGCTTTATATATTTAGGTGCTCCAATGTTGGATGTATACATATTTATAATTCTTATATCTTCATGATGAATTCACCCCTTTATCATTATAGAATGACCTTCTTTGTTTCTTGAGATTTCTTTTTAATGTAGGCATTTACAGCTCTAAATTTCCCTCTGGGCACTGATTGGCTGCTTCCCTTTTTTGGTGTGTTGTGCTTTAATTTTCATTCATCTTAAAGTATTTTCTAATTTAGTGAGTTTAAGAGTATATCATTCAATCTTCACATATTTTTATTTTTCAGTTTTTCTTCTATTATTGATTTCTGACTTTACTCCATTGTGGTTGAAGAATATAGTTTGCATGATTTCAATCTTTTACAATTTGTTGAGACTCATTTTGTGGCCTAACACATGGTCTCTTCTGCTGAATCTCCTATGTGCATTTACCAAGACTGCATATTCTGCTATTGTTGGGTGCAGTGTTCTTTCTGTATATGTTTGTTAGGTCATGTTTGTATATAGTTTGTTCAAGTCCCCATTTAAGTTAAAAAAAAAACCTGAAGATCATTGAGAAATCAAAGGCTGATTTGAATTTACCTTATGTAAATATGAATTTGTGTTTTGGAGGGTGAGATACCCAAATTGATATGGAATTAAGAAAGCCCCAATAGACTTGGTCTTTTAAAGATATTTACACGTTATATATTATTGCATGTCTATGCTACAAGTTCACAGATCATAGAACTCTTGATTCTTTGGGCATTTGTATTTTAAGGATGTAAGGATGTATGTTGCCTTTGGTTTGTAAAAATTGTTGTGTACAGACCTGCCGTTATATGAAGTGTTATTGCAAGCCTTACTGAAATATGCAATACTAGCTGACACATTTAAGGTGAAGCTGTGCTAACTGATTTAAGATTGTACATATTTGTTTTACATCGGAATTTTTAAAACCATGTTTTAAAATAATTTCAGGAATATGAAATTCAGAAAACAAAAGAGGAAGAATTCATGAAGTTATTTCATAGGTGGAAAGAAGAAGAAAAGGAGAAATTTGCTGATGAAATGGAAAAATTCAAGGAAATGTGTAAGAAGGAGTTTAAAGAATTAACTTCCAAGAATTCAGCATTAGAATATGTAAGTATTAACCCGAGAAGTCCTTATGGTACTGGTAGAATTGTTGCCTTGAAAGGGGTGTTAGAGCGGCATTATGACTACCTGATCCAAAAGATCCTTAATTGTGCCCAGGCCCAGGCACCCCTCGCCCCTGAGAGTCTTGAGGGAGCTCGAAACATACAGAAGACATAGCAAGTCAGAAAAGTAGGAGCTTTGTTCATTTGATTGGATGATAGAACAGGGTCCCTCTTTCGTTAGCCAGTTAAGTTTACAAAAGCTGAAACCATAAACCATTCCCTGAGTTTTGGAACTTTCCAGGAAAGGCTGACACACATCACCAATGTGGGAGGGAAAGGAAGCCAATTCAGAAAGACAGAGGGAGAACCTTTGCCAGGCCTGGCTGGTCTGGAGCGGGCAGAATGTGGCTACATGAGCCCCTCTCCCCTGTGGGAGTGGCCTTGCCCTGGTTACATGCATAGATGACAGAGACACGCCTCGCTGGGCTGGGACCTTCATCTCCTGTGAGCATCTTCTACACATGGTGGCCTCTGTCATCCAGCTAAGAATAATCTGAGCTTGCTGGACAGCGCAGTGCTAAGTGATCCTTAGGGAAAAAGAAACAAGGGACACAAGGGAAGATCTTTGAGCTCCCTCTAGGGGCCAACACATTGTATAAACGAAAACAGAGGGATATTTTGAGGATACTGCTAAGATCCTTCTCTAAAATGCACCCTGAACGCTCACATAAGGGTAGGCAAACCACCTGTGAACTAGATCTGACCCACCCCTGTTTTTGTATGGCTCTTGAGCTCACAAAGGTTTTTACATTTTTAAATGGTTGAAAAAGTCAAAAGAAGAATATTTCATGACATAGGGAAATTACATAAAGTTCCCATTTCAGTGTCCACAATTACATTTTTTGAGAACACAACCACGCTCATTCCTTTACACTTTGTCTATGGTGCTCTTGTGCTGGGCCCTAGAGTTGAGTGGTCATGACCAAGACCCTATGCGTCTAGCAAAACCAGAAATGTTTGCTATCTGACTCTTTACAGGAAGAGTATGACAGCCGCTGTCATACCTGTATAGGCAGAAGAGTAACAATTGGTGGAGGTGAAATGGATGTTTATGGTACTGTTCTTCCACCTTTCAAAGTTGTAATCTCAAAAAAAGTTGGGAGGAAATAATATCGGATGGCGCTCTGTGTCCTTTCTGTAGGGATTCCTTCAGGAAACTTCCTGTGGGTTCAGTTAGCCCCATATTACCTTTCCTTGGTTGCTGCTCTTCTTCCTAAGCATCAGCACCTACAGGCAGTAGTTCTGTCTCTATCCATGATTTCCTCTACCACCCAGGGCCCTCTCCAAAACTCATATTTGTGGCTCCTTCTCAAAAGGGCACCATATTACCCACAGGAGTGGCTTTTGATACTAACCAGTTTAAGACTGACTTCTTATGTCTTCCCCATGAAAGCCACTGCAAATGACCATTATTTTGCCTGAGATTCCCTCCATGGGCCTGTCCCCTGTTCCCTGCCCCTAAGGTAATTGTGAAATAGGACGTTTCCCCACAGCTTAAAAAACAAACCCTTCATTGAGATATAGTTCACATACCATACAGTTCACCCACTTAAAGTGTACAATTCAGTGGATTTTAGTGTTCACATACTTATGCAACCATCATCATGGTCATTATAGAACATTTTATTACCCTAAGAAGAAACCTTGTAACCCATTGACACTCTTCCCATACCACTCCTCACCCCCAACCCGTGGCAACCACGGATCTACTTTCTGTCCCCATGGATCTGCCTATTCTGGACATTTCATATAAATTGAATCATTACAATATGTGACCTTTTGTGAGTGGCATCTTTCACTGGGATAATGTTTTCAAAATTCATCCATGTTTTAATATTGATCAGTATTTTTATATTTTATTGCTGAATGATATTCCATTGTATGGATATACCATATTTTATTTGTGTATGCATCAGTTGATGGAATTTGTGATGTTTGCCCTTTTTGGCTGTCAACAGATTTTAAATGATTAAAAATAGGGCATTTTTTAGCATAGAGTTAGGTTTACAGAAAAATTGAGCAGATGGTTCAGAAATTTCTATATAAGCCCCCCTCTCCTACCTTGTGCATAAACATATCCTGACATCTTAAATTGGTGGATTTGTTACAATTAATGAACCAATATTGATGCACTTGTATTAATTAAAGTTCATACTTCTTTCCGATTTCTTTGACTTTTACCTAAAGTCCTTTCTCTGCTTGAGGATCTTATCTAGACACCACAGTACATTTAGTTGTCATGTCTGCTAAGGCTCCTCCTGTCTGTGACAGTCAGGTTTGTTTCTGATGACCTGGACAATGTATATTGTAGGATGCGCCTCTATTAGAATTGATTTGATATTCTTCTCATGGTCAGGCTGGGCTTACAGGGTCTGGGGAAGAAGACCTCAGAGTTAAAGTGCAATTTTCATTATATCACATCAAGGGTATACACAATCTAAATGATTTATGGTGTTGATGTTGACCTTGACCACCTGGCTGAGGTTGTGTTTGTCAGACTTCTCCATTGAAAAGTAATCTCCCCTTATTTCATACTGTTCACTCTTTTCAAAGAAGCCTCTATATGCAGCCCAGACTAAAATAGCAGGGAACTATTTGTTTATGAAGTTAACATACAGTATTACCTTCTGTGCTTACTGCTAGTAATTTTGGGACTACCATACAAACAAAGGGTAAAATTAAAATGTTATGTCCCTAATGGATTCACAGATGGGGTCCTGGATGAAGCTGGCCTCGTCACTAAATTACTAGTATCTTGAGAACTAGCTGTGTCCAGTTCCTCTGTTTCTGGCAACTGTTACATGCAAATCAAAAATTTTAAGACACATTGCCTAAGACTAGAAAGTTAGGTTTTCCTTTCCCTTTTTAATCCTGTGCATGTTCCTTTGTTGGAAGAAACAAAAGAAGAAAACCACTGGAAAGGAGAAGTAAGAGAATTACAACGAGCATCCAATAGGATAGTCAGATTTAAAACATGGGTACACGCTCCCCAACTTGATTTTCTGTTTCAGTCTTACAAAAATCTAAACATTTCTATCAGTGATTTTTGTATTTCATTTTATAGCAATTGTCAGAAATCCAGAAGTCTAATATGCAGATCAAGTCCAACTTAGGCACGTTAAGAGATGCCCACGAGTTCAAGGAAGAGCGTCCTCAGTATGCCCAGGATTTCCAAAATGTGATGCAATTTCTTGATAGTCAGGTATGTAAAAGCGGGCAATAACTGTGGCTGAGGCCTCACTTTTCTTAGTGAAGTAATTTACAGCAAGCATCTTCTACAGAAAAAGTATTTGTGTCTTTCAGTGACCATGAAGGCAGCTAATTCTATTTTCTTGTCTTCTAATACATGCATAATATAGAATAGGTGTTCACTAGCTGCTTGTTGATTGACTAACAGATGTGGATACAAAACAGTTGGCAAAATTCCTTCATTTTCCCTTACAATAATATCTAATTTGAATTGGTTAACATTATCTCAGTGTCTATTCAGATGTAGGTCTCAGTTTCAAAAGGCATGGAAAGGCATATGGAAGCACTAACTTTACTTTTAGAGCTAAAATACACAAACTGCATTGGTGAACTGATGACCTTTTACATTTATCAAACACTAGAGGCCCGGTGCACGAAATTTGTGCATTGGAAGGGGGGTCCCTCAGCCTGGCCTGTGCCCCCTTGCAGTCTGGGACCCCTCACTCCTTACTTGCTGCCTGCTCGCTGCTCCTTAGCGTTCAGCTCGCTGCTCCTTAGCGCTGCCACAGAGGTGGGAGAGGCTCCTGCCACCACTGCTGCGCTCAACAGCCATGAGCCCGGCTTCTGGTTGAGTGGGAGCACACTGTGGGAGCACGCTGACCACCAGGGGGCAGCTCATGCATTGAGCATCTGCTCCCTGGTGGTCAGTGCACATTATAGCAACTGGTTGTTCTGGTTGTTCCACCGTAATGGTCGCTTAGGCTTTTATTATATAGACTAGAGGCCTGATGCATGAAATTCATGCAAGAGGCTTGGCCGGCCCTCACAGCCCCGGCCAGCCCTTGCAGCCCTGGCTTTGTCTGGACATCCGGACAGTCATTCTGCTGTTCGGTCTAATTAGCATATTAGCTCTTTATTATATAGAATAATTGCAGTCACTTGGGAGTGAACCTCCATAAAATCAGCACAATGTTCACACTGGTTATTTGGTCATACTGGTTTAGGGGGACATTGTGTATTACCAGGAAACAAATAGAGATTAAAGTTTACAACCTCAGGATTATTTTAAAAAGCAATAATACCATAGAAGCTTCTAACTAATTTCAGAGAGAAAGCGGGGGTGAGGGGAGTGGGAGGGAGTGACTAACCAAGGAACTTTAATGCATATATGCATAGCCCATGGACACAGATAATAGAGTGGTGAAGGCCTGGGCGGGGTGGGTGCGAGGTGGATGGGGTCAATGGGGGAAAAAACAAACAAAGGGGGCATCTGTAATACTTTCAACAATAAAATTTTTTTTAAAAGTAATAATACATCATTTAAAAAATAAACATGTTTTTGAAATATGAACAGCGGTCACTGCAGCTTGCTTTGCCTCTCACATCTTGCTTCCCTCCCACAAATCTACTGTCCACGTTACAGCCAGGCTGACCATGTCACTGTCCCGTCTAGAATTTTTCCATGACTCCCTATTTTTCACAGAACACAGTCTCAAATCCTTTAGCCAGCACTCCAAGTCCCTGAGGATCTGGATCCAGCGTCATTTGCCACCTTTCTTGGCTTTCCCGTGACGCTCCCAGTGGCACCAAACAGCCATGGGCCCCCGTGGCATGCGGGTTTCTGCTTGTGCTCTTGTGTTCTCTGTCAAGCAGCTCCCAGTTTCAGGACCTGCAGTTTACTGATTCAGCTGGGACAGCACTTCTTCAGAGAGTTCAGAGAGAGAAACATTGATTCAGCTGCCTCTTGCACACCCCCTACTGGGGATGTGCCCTCAACCAAGGTACATGCCCTTGACTGGAATCGAATCTGGGACCCTTCAGTCCACAGGCCGATGCTCTATCCACTGAGCCAAACTGGTTAGGGCTCCTTTTAGTTTCTTAGGTTGGCCAGTTAGCACCAATATATTTTAAAACAAAATTTCATTGGAACACAGCCATACCCATTCATTTAGGTTTTTATCTATGGCTGTTCTGCTGTCACTAGAAGTCGTGACCCAATCATCTGGCTCCAAGAACCTAAAATACAGGGATGGGCAAAAGTAGGCCTATAGTTGTTCAAATGGAAAAAGACATGCAGATTAAGATTATTACAATAGCTTTATTAACTCAAATGAATGCACTGTAAACCTACTTTTCCAACCCCTGTATTTACTATTAATTCCTTCACAGGAAATGTTTGCTGTTACCTGCCTTCTAATGGGGGTGGGCAGGGGCTGGGTGGAGGGGAGCCAAGGAGGAGGGGCAAATGGGGGACATCTGTAATACTGTCAGTAATTAAAAAATAAATTTAAAAGGTACAGATGTGTTTAACCATTTTGACTGTATATATTCTAAAAATGCCTGCTAACATTTTACCAAATAGTTGGGCTTCCCAGGTACCCACTAAAAAGGAAGCTTCCATTTTGAATAGATTTCATTGTTACAGTTGCACATACATTACTCTTGTCTTACTGTTTCCTAGGAAAACAAGTGGACAGCTCGAGTTCAAGCTCTTCATCAAGAACATGAAAAAGAGAAGGATCAGGTAAGATTAAGAAACTACCCATAAGTTCATTGCAGCATTACTTACAGTAGCCAAGATGTGCAAGCAACCTAACTGTCCATCAATAGACAAGTGGATAGCCGAAACCGGTTTGGCTCAGTGGATAGAGTGTCAGCTTGCAGACTGAAAGGTCCCAGGTTCGATTCTGGTCAAGGGCATGTACCTGGGTTGCGGGCACATCCCCAGTAGGAGATGTGCAGGAGGCAGCTGATCGATGTTTCTCTCTCATCGATGTTTCTAACTCTCTATCTCTCTCCCTTCCTCTCTGTAAAAAATCAATAAAATATATTTTAAAAAAAAATAGACAAGTGGATAAAGAACATTTAGTACGTATCACAATGAAATATTAACCAGCTATAAAAAAAAGAATGAAATCTTGCCATTTGTGACAACATGGATGGACCCAGAATGTATTATGCTAAGTGAAATAAATCAGGCAGAGAAAGGTAAATATCATATAATTTCATGTGTAGAATCTAAAAAATGAAATAAACAAGCAAAACAAAGAAACTCATAGACAAAGAGAACGAATTGATAGTTGCTAGATGGGAGGGGGATTGGAGGATGAGTGAAAAAGGTGAAGGGATTAAGAAGCACAAATTGGCAGTTATGAAATAGTTGTGGGGATGTAAAGTACAGCATAGGGAATATAGTCAATAATCCTATATGATAAAAGCCCAGCGACCGAACGGTGGAACGACCAGAAAGACCAGTTGACCAGTTGCTATGATGCACACTGACCACCAAGGGGCAGACGCTCAATGCAGGAGCTGCCCCCTGGTGGTCAGTGCACTCCCTCAGTGGGAGTGCCGCTGGACTGACCAGGATGAGCAGTGCTCCCACAGCGGGCTGGCAGGCCACGCCCCCACCAGTGCACGAATCCCGTGCATCGGGCTTCTAGTATTATAATAACTATGCATGGTGTCAGATGGGTACTAGAATTATCAGAGGATCACTTCCTAAGTTATATAAAGGTCGAATCACTATGTTGTACACCTGCAAGTAATATAATTTTGTATGTCAACTGTATCTGGAAACAAAAAACAAAAAATAAACCAATGACCTATAAATGGGTCATTTTTGCAAAGAATATTTGCTTTTCTTTATAATTATGATAGTATTTTTTTTTTTACCTATAGTTTGTGAAGAAATGTATAGCAAAAATTAAAATTATTTATAATTTCAATACCAAAGATAACCACTGCTACTGTTACTTAATAAATTCTTTATTATTGAATACGTTTCTAATTTTTTCATACAGAGTGGTAGTCTAAATAATTTTTAAATAAAGGCAAGGATTGTTCACATTAAAATGGTTTTTATGAAAGCAAATTTTAATTATAACACTGATTCCCTTTCAGCCGAGTGTATAGAAATTTAATGGTCAAAATGATTTTACACTAGTGCAAAAATTGTTTATTTTTTCACTTTAAATTATATTTTGTAGCCTTCTGGATCCTCTGTGTCTATGTTTGTCTAAAACATGTTCTAGAGATAGGAATTCTGGGTGTTAATCAATTCAATTCCTGGTGAGAGCCCTCTTGCAGAAGGCCACTGTGTTCTCACATGGCAGAGAGGGTGTGGGTAGGGTGGGGGGAGAGAAGAAAGAGAGGGAGAGAAAGCTCAGGTCTTTTATTATAAGGGCACTAATTCCATCCCAGCATGAGGACCCTACCTTTAAGTTTAAGACTTCATCTGAACCTAGTGACCTTCCAAAGGCCCCATCTCCTAATACCATCACATTGGGGGTTGGAGCTTCAACATGGATTTTGGGGAACACAAACATCAAGTCTATAAGGCCAAGGGAAAGGGATTAAACAGGACTTGTGGTCTGGGGGTGCAGACTTGAGCCAATTTAGGTTTCTGCCTCTCACACCCTCCTCTGGCCTGGCTTTACATGTCATCAGCAACCGCTTAATCTAAGTAGGGAGTCCCCTCCCTTTATTATTCTCACCACTACTTCATGAGTGTAGCTCTGATCACTATTTTAAACCATTTTTTGCTTATTTGTTTACTTGTTTAATTTCTGCTTGTCCAACCAGATCCCTAGCCCTGCAAGGAAGAGGTTCTATTTTATAGTTCTCCATTATAATCCCAACATTCAATAATGTGCCTAAAAAGTGATTGAAACTCATTAACTATTTGCTGAATGAGTAGGGAAGGTTGCTAGATCTCCAAAAAGGGATCATTCAACCATGTTTCTGAAGATGGAGAAATGCTAATTGTAGGGTTCGGAAGAACAGGGATGAAAGAGTTGTCTGTCCGTATGAGCATGGTATTTGAACCCACGCCCTCTTACCGGCCCTACTTGTGTGCCTCACTGCCTTGCTTACTTCTCAGGTGTTGGGCACTAAGCCAGCTGGGGAGGGGAATAGACAGGGGCAACTTAGCCAGCTTTTCTGTAAGAAAGTTCTAGCTTTCTTTTGAGATGCTCAAAGGTGGTAGTTCCTAAAGAGGGTTGCCTTTCAGAGCGACCTGAGGCTCTTTTCCAAAATACACATGTGCCACTGTACAGCATGAGATTCCCCTTCCGTAGGTGAGTCTGGGACAGGCATATTTGGTTGGGGAGAAAGGGGAGGGACCAAAGAACCAAACCTGGACAGTTCTGTCTTGGATCCATGTTTTGAACCACTGCTCTTAGATTACTTGAAGTTCCTACTCTTATTGTTCAAGGCATCTTAAAGCACTGGTGTCTAGGGACAGGATTCGGGTCTTCCTGATTAATAGGGGTCAGTTTTAGTCCTTGGTCTTCTATGGAAAGCCCCTTGTATTCCAGGCAGCTGTGGGGAAGTCAGTGGCCTTCTGGCAGAACAGAATGCACGTTACAGTTTTACACTTGCCACTGCAAGTCATGATAGAGAGGACCAACTGTTGGTTCTGAGTGAGGCGCCTCATTGCACGGATTGGGAGTGTGGAGTGTTTGTGCCGCTAGGCTTTGCTGCTTCCTCGTCTGTTGGTTTTGTTTGTCCAGAAGCTGCTGACTTCTGCCTTCATTTCCCTTAAACCCTAACAGAGGGGTGAATTCAATCAGTTTAGTAATCTCTGCCTGCGACCTAACTATTAATTATTCCACATGATTGGTGCCTACTGTTCCTACAATGCACATATTGTATTTCTCTGCTTAAGGGAAGTTGCGTTTGCCAGCTTTTTATTGCTTTACCTAGAATTGGCAGTCGTTTTATTTTTATTTCTAAATAACACTGGTAGGAGTTCAAAGGGAGTCACAGATAAATGATGGTATACCCTTTTGACCCGATTGGGAAATTGTAGAATGGTCAGGAACGGGGGATGGCATGATGTGGACTGATAGGAAAAAAAGCAAAGACTTGAAGTGGTAGAAGGTCATAACAGATGGGCTCAAGAGCTACAGGTTTGTTGAAGTAATATCTGGCTATCCTTTGCTTAGATGATCACATTCCTCTCTCAGTGAACTTTTATGTAATTTTGTGGTCATTTTCCAATTCTAATATCAAAGTGGTATCATCCCTTAGGTTTTGCTATGTCCTCTTTCTTCTTGGGGCCTGGAACGACTCCCCATATTATTGATCCTAAACCTCTACCCAGAACCCCAGACATCTTTACTGGCTTTTACTTCTATTTTCCAGCTCAGTGTTTCCCAAACTGCTTTTGGGGGCACTCTTCCAGTTATTTGTAAAAATGTAGAGAAGATTCTTGACAATGTCCTCCTTGGGGGAAATTCTTAGCATCCGCTAGGATATGAAAGGTTATTTTCAGTCCTCACTCAGGTAACCTTTTTAACTTGGTTTAACCCAGTGTTTGTCCAACCTCATGCAAGCACAGAGCACCTCAGATGGGGGACCCTGCAGTGTATTGATTGAGAGCATTCACTTTTTGTTGTTGTTTTTTTAATGTGATTGAGCAGTGTTAGCTTCACAAGAAACTGAGCAGAAAGTACAGAGAATTTGTAAATACTCCTGCCCCCATACCTGGTAAGCACAGCCGCCCCCACTGTCAACATTCCATACCAGAGTGGTACATTTGTTACAATCAACGAATGTACATTGACACATCATTATCATCCAAAGTCCAAGGTTTACTTTAGGGTTCACTCTTGGTATTCTGTGTTCTGTAAGTTTGGTTAAGTGACATGCATCTACCATTACAGTTTCATACAGAATACTTTTACTGCCCTAAAAGTCCTCTGTGCTCTGCCTATTCATCCCTCCCTTCCCCCTAATCCCTGATCTTTTTACTATTTCTGTACTTTTCCCTTTTCCAGAATGTCATATAGTTGGATCCATACAGGATATAACCTTTTCAGATTGGTTTCTTCCACTCAGTAATATACATTTAAAGTTCCTCCAAGTCTTTTCATGGCTTGATAGTTTTTTAATGCAGAATAATATTCTACTGTCTGGGTGGACCACAGTTTATTTACCCATGCATCTAGTGAAGGGCATTTTGGTTGCTTCCAAATTTTGGCAATGTTGCATAAAGCTGCCATATACATACATCTGTGTGCAGGTTTCTGTGTGGACATGAGTTTTCAGCTCCTTTAGGTAAATACCAAGGGGCACGAATGCTGGATTGTATGGTAAGAATATGTGTAGTTTTATAAGAAACTGCCAAACTGTCTTGTAAAGTGGCTGTATCGTTTTGCACGAGTTCCTGGGGGCTGCTTGATTGCGTGCAAGTATTATTTATTAATATCTTGCATGACATAGACACTGCACTTGGGAGTGTTGACTTTGAAGCCAGGCATGAAAGTTCAAGTCTGGGCTCTTCCCCCTCTAGCTGTCTGAGTCTGGACCAGCAGCTACTTTACCTCTCAAGTGCTCAATAGACTCTAACACAAGACCAGTGATTGGTAAAAAAATCAAGCAAGTCAGAAATGCTGCCCAAGACGCCTTTTGTATCCCTCACAGGCATGGTTACTCCCCCTGCCCCCCCCCCGCCCCCCCCCCCCCCCCGCTTTCCCCCACAGCTTTATTTGATCTGTACATCCCTGTCTCCATTCCCACACTGTGGGCTTGGAATGTCCTCAGCTCCAGTTACCAAGTTTCTCTCCCCACCCCTCCTTATGTTTAAGCAACTACTCAAAGAGCTTTAAGAATCTTTTCCTAGCCCTAGCCAGTTTGGCTCAGTGGATAGAGCGTTGGCCTGAGGATTGAAGGGTCTCAGGTTCAATTCCGATCAAGAGCACATTCAATTCTGCTGCACGCTCTATCCCGATGTTTCTGTCTTTTCCCCTCCTTTCCACACTCTCTGAAAAATCAATAGAAAAAATATCCTCAGGTAAGAATTAACAAACAAACAAGCAATCTTTCCCTAAATGACTAAAAACAAACTATTCTTTTAAAAAAATATATTTTATTAATTTTTTACAGAGAGGAAGGGAGAGGGATAGAGAGTTAGAAACATCAATGAGAGAGAAATATTGATCAGCTGCCTCCTGCACACTTCCTACTGGGTATGTGCCCGCAACCAAGGTACATGCCCCTGACCGGAATTGAACCCGGGACCCTTGAGTCCGCAGACCGACGCTCTATCCACTGAGCCAAACCAGTTAGGGCAAAACAAATTATTCTTGAATTCTTTTCATTCAATATATGACTCCCCCTGACACTAACTCTAAAGATGAATCTATCTGCCCTAACCGGTTTGGCTCAGTGGATAGAACGTTGGTCTGCGGACTCAAGGGTCCCGGGTTCGATTCTGGTCAAGGGCATGTACCTTGGTTGCGGGCACATCCCCAGTAGAAGGTGTGCAGGAGGCAGCTGATTGATGTTTCTAACTCTCTATCCATCTCCCTTCCTCTCTGTAAAAAAAATCAATAAAATATATTTAAAAAAAAGATGAATCTATCTATGAATCTTTGGATCTCTCTGTCCCTTGCATCTCTCCCTTTCTTTCAGCCACTCCTTCCTTCCTCTCTTCTTGCTTCTCTTTTTTTCTCTCCCCTCCTCCCTCCACCTTCCTTTTCTCAATAAGTATTTAATGAGAACCTGCAGAGCCAGAGATTGTGCTAGTGGCTGGACAGGTAAACATAATCAAGATGGGCTCTCTCACCCAAGGAGTGCACTTTCGCGCCAGGACAGCACATGTGGATGTGGGAAGGATAGGACTGCTTGTGGTCGCAGCCGCTCTGTGGAGAAGCCTTGACCCTTTATCATTGATCATCCCTGTGTTATTTCATGTAATGTGCTCAAGTTCACTCAGCTGTTCACATTATCAGTGATGTCTGTCAGCTTCCTGGGAACAGAAAGGAAGCGCCTTGTTCAGCCAGGGCCTTGGTACCCAGTGATCAAAGATTTACTCCATGACTTAATATGCACAGATAACATAAGGCCAGGTATCCTATATAATAAAAGCCTAAAATGCAAATCGACCGAACGGTGGAATGACCGGTTGCTATGACACGCACTGACCACCAGGGGGCAGACGCTCGATGCAGGAGCTGCCCCCAGCCCACAGGCCCCAAGCCAGCCAAGGTGGGTGCCAGCGCCCCCTCCCCTCCAGTCATCCCACCGGTCACCCCACAGATCGGCCCTGATCCCCGGCCAGGCTTAGGGACCCTACCCGTGGATGAATTTCTTGCACTGGGCTTCTAGTGCACATATAAACTGCAGAAGACAGTTTACATGCAATGTGCAAACTGATGCCTTTCTTAATTCTTTTTCCAGCTCCTGTCACATATAGAGAAACTTCAAAATTTAATGATAGACAGTCTAAATGCAAACAATGTTTTCTACAAGAAAAGGATGGAAGAGCAAGGGCAGAGACCCCAGGAACAGAATGAACCAATTACCATTCAGAGACCACAGGTATTTTTGGCTACCTATGGGCACTGGTTTACTTTAAGCAGTGCAGTTTATCTAAGAACATGTGTTTTATTTTAGAACATTTGTAAGTTGGGCAAAGATGGAATATTTTTTCCTGTAGTTGTTTGTAAAAGTAAATTCAATCAAATAATTTTTAAAAGTTATTTAAAAATACCATAGAGCAGATTTATTCAATTAGGATTAGGAACATTTGAAGGTGGATAAGAATTTCCTTTAGTGATTACTTTGAGAAGCAGCTGAGTCCAGATGCTGCTTTCATACAACTTTTGTCTCCTTGTCTTTAAAGTCCACGTGTCCTCCCTTGTCTTTGGAGGATTTCATGAGAAGGTTAATTTACTAAGTCCAGTATCTGTCCATTATCCAGTATGTCCCTATCTGATTCCAAACATGTATCCCTAGAAGACTGTTTTTCTTTGCAGATAAAAGAATTTACCAGTAAACCAGTAAACAGTGTCATTGAACCCAAAGGTAAGTGGTCCAGGATCCCAGTGTTGGAGGCAAGGCAGGGTCCCTCGCCATTGGCTGGGCATCAGTAGAATGTGGGGCCGGATGGTTTATGGGTGCTAAGATGGCATTCCTTCTGTTATTTTAATTTGAGAGATCCTTTATCACAACCTAGAAAGTTGAAGAATTTTAAAGACCTAAATGATTATTGAATGGTCTCCTATATTTTTCATCAGAATATTGTTATGCTCAGTAACCGTTTTCCTCTGTACGCATGTGCAGTCGATGGAGTTATGATTAAAAGGGTCTGGAGACAGGCTGGCTCAACTCCCATCTCTGGCACTTAGTAGCTTTGTGAGTCTCTGCCTCAGTTTCCTCAGTTCTAAAGTTGGAATATTAATAATAACTATATCTTAGGGTTGTTACAGGGAGGACATGTGAAAAGTACGCCTATTAAACATTCATTAGTGTTAGCTATTGTTATTGATAGTAAAATCAATTATTTTTAAGTACTGGAGAGGCTAACTGCATTATTCTCCATTGCAGTTGTTTGGGGTTACAGGTTTGTCCTAAGCATAGTGAGGGCATATACAACCTACTCCTAACTGTAGCAATGAGAGCGCCCATGTCTGTGTCATTCAAGGGAGAGTCTAGATGGGAGACTGGCAGCCAGAAGCACAGGGTCTCACGATAGAACATAAAGCTTGCCTTCTGCTGGTCTCCTTCCAAGTGATCCCAGTCTTGTTTCCTGTACGACTCAGGTTGTTAAGGCACCTTGTCTACTCAAGAGACTAACTGGGACTGGAAATGGGCGTGTGAGCTGGGTTTTCTCTCTGTTTCCGGGGCCCTCTGGAAAGACATTGACCTACACACTGGTTTCTTTCTTGTTTTGAGAGAGGGGTTTGGGAAGGGCCGTGGTTCCCTATAACTTCTCTTTGAATAGTGAGAGTTCAGATAGTGAGGAATACCTGTATAATTACTTAAATAGCATAAATATTTTTCTGAAAAGTATTTTTAGGAAAAGTTAGCTTTTAAGGATTTCTGTTAAACATCTCTATTGGGTGAGTCACTATATGTTGGTAAATGTCATTTATTGTTTTGTGGGGGGAAAAGATTAGGGTAAATGCTGGCAAATATATATATATATATATTTATATACCATAGCTTGTGATTTTTGTTATCAATTTATTTATTTATTTTTTTGTTATTTCAGGGAATTCTTTAATCTGGCAAACTGTTGAATCTAAGCCACCTGCCCAAGCTGTACCTAGTAAGTTTCCATCATAAGCTCAGGATTCTAAAGAAATTTTCTAAAGTGCTAAACCAATACATAACTTCTACTTATTTCTAGAGACTTTTCTTTGAAAATCCCTGTTTGCAGATTACATGATAATATGTTTTAATTCCTGGCTTTCACCTAGTTCTAAAACCAAGATTGTACATATTCCCATGTCTTTGTGGTTAATGTTGGTTAGCCATTCCTATTATTTTGTAGTTCACCTAATAACGGGATGACTACAAATTCTTTAGCATCACTCCACTTCATACTTTTGGGTTTCCCAAGGTGACACACTGTGAAGAAGTGACTGTGTGGCAGCCACCCATGTTGGCCTCCCTGGGACTCTCGGTGCCGCAGGCTTTGAAGTGATGTTCCCTCTGTCACTCAGTAAAGTTCAGCTCAGCACAGCTGTCTCCTGGAGCAATCAGGATTTGGTTATAATCCAAAAAGACATAACCTGTACTGTTTAGAATCGAACAGACTGTTTCTTAATTTGAGATGTTTTTGTTTTCATTCAGGAAAGGGTAAGGGTGGAGGAAGTACGGGAGCAGGTGATCCTGGGAGAGAGAGGATGTGTGAGTGAACGGGGATGTAAATAGAGTGCAGGCCTGCGCTGAGGCGGGGCACCGAGTGGCTGCCTTTTACTAGTAGACGGGCCCAGCGCTGTGTAAAAAGGAAAGAACATTGATGAATGTGATTGGGAATTTGGCACTATTGGCTGGAAAATGCTACTGGGTTTAACCACTCATTCCTCTGAGATGCTTCTTGAGGACTTTTTGATGTTGCTTTTGGAATCTGAAGAGGTTGAGAGGTGCTGAAGAGGAGATGGCAGTTTAAATGCCAAGAGTAGGGCCAAGGGGAGAGCAGAAGCTGAACATGTATTTTATGAAATAAAGAAAACAATACAGTTCAAAGAAGGATGAAAGGTTAAAAGGCACTTGGTTATTATTGTCCATACTTTCATTATACTTGGCATAATATTGGAATAGTAGTGTGTTCCGATAAAACTTTATAAAAACAGGTGGTGGGCTGACATGTCCCAGGGACTTTAGTTTTCCAAACCCAGTAACTTTTACTGGTGAAAATTAACCAGCCTAACATAATCAGTATCCCAAAGAGGCATATTTTGGGGTGGCAGACTCTACTCCCCTTCACACAACTCTGTGAATATCCTAAAACCCATGGAATTGTGTATTTTAAAAGAGTGAATTATATGTCAATAAAACTATTATTAACAATTGGTTTAGATTAATTTGAAACATTTGTCCCTTATGATCTGTATATGTCTTGACTAATTTGAGTAGTATTTGGTTTCCATCATGTTCAGTTGCTGATGCTTTAATTAGGGACTTTTTTATGCTGTTTCAGTGAGTGCCCCAGCCCCACAGGCTTTGGATGCTAAGTCAAGTCTAACAATGGCACATGGTAAGTTTCAGCAAAGTCTGGGCATTTTATGTACAGTTTCCACCCTGAGTTAGATTACTTATTAACTGAAAGTGCTTTTCTGTGGGGGTAATTACCCAAAACAGAAAACATTTTAGTGAATGCAAAAACAGTTAATACCACTTCAATATTCCTATTTAATATCACAAACTGAACAAACCCACCAAAGCCATAAAGTATAAAATGTGTACATTGCTGGACCTACAAGTAGAGATTTTTGAGTAGTACTTTCACCATTTATGATTTTGGGTGGAAAGTAGTAGGTTTTTGGGCGAGAGGGTGACTTTCTAGACCAGCCAACCAGTACATGCCACAGGCCATATGTGACTGTTTTTATAACTTTCAGTGTGGCAGCATGTCAACTTTTTAAATAAACAGTTTCAGTGATTGGTTGGGAAAAATCTAAAAAGGACATGTGATGGAAACCAAAGAAAAAAATAGGACCCACTGGGTGAAATCGCTGCCAGGATTCAGCTGGACCAGACCAAAGGGGGGATAATTGCTATTAACATCACCCAATAGATAGGGTGAATATTTGTAGTCATATTTTCCTTTTGTATAGTTAGGAGCATACAGTTTTTTGTAGTATGTCTTTAAATGTGCTATTTTCCTATGGTCTGCTGTAAATTAGAAATGAATAAGACAAGAGGGGGACTATCTTTTTCCTATTTTACCTAATGATTACTTCACTCCACATTTGTTTGTAGCCTTTTAATTAGACTTAACTCCATGATTAATCAAGCTGAACTTTTTGTCTTCGTAAATATTGTGGTCTGCATTTGATGGACTTTGTAATTGTCCCTTTCATCCACTGAATAGCGTGTGATGTATTTATTGCCCCTTATTTTTTTCCTAAGATTATTTCAGATGGACCAGTTCCCTTGAGCATGTGTTCACAATATGTAATGCAAATTCTCCACACATTAGATGTTATTACTCATGTGTTTAGAATATGCAGGGTTTTTTTTTCCTTTGGACCAGTACTACATAAAATGTATGTTGGATTTATATAAATTTACTTAAATATTGAAATTCCATACAATTTTCTCTGTCATTATTCTCTATTCATATTATTTTATATCAGGTCTAAAATTTCTCTGTTGCCTCCTTTTGTAGGGTTGATTTTTATAAAGCAATTGCTGGCCACTTCTCTTTTGTACTTCAACAGTGTTTGGTTTTCTTTTCTCTTTTTTTCTACCTTTTTATGGTTATAACATCATATAAGGTCCACATTTTCTTTGTGTCATCTCTTTGGTGCCTGCTAAAGGACGCATGCAGTCTGTATGCTAAGCTACCTGGGGCTAGTTCAAGGGTCCTGACAGATCTGTTGGTTCTAAAGCAATGTGTTCCATGTGGACCTGCCCTGATTGGGCCAGGGCCACAGGAATCAACCATGCCCTCTTGCTGGCATCTGCTGGGATTGAAATGCTAGTTTGAAATGCCAGCCAGGCTTGGCACAGGGCCTGCAAACCTTGGATTGGGATCAAAGCTGATTTGTGAGCATCTCGATGGACAGAAGCAAGGCAGAGGCTTGGCTGGGGCTCACTGACCTACCCCAACCCACCTGTGTTAGAGGTTCGGGCAGGAGAGGGTTACTCATGTATTTCATAACATTCATTAGCCTAATTACCTCTGTCTTTCCTTTTGTTCCATCTCAAAGCTTGGTGAGGTTCCACTCCATAAATAATGTCATGATTACTCGTCGTCTTAGGTTGGGTTCCTTGAGAAACAGACTCTGAGGGGGAGGTTTGCAGGTGGGAGGTTTAGCAGGCAGTGCTCTCAGACAGCACCCGTGAGAGTCGCGGGACTGAGAGGTGCAGCTTCAGTGGAGCCCTCGGCAGATCCTACCAGGAGCTTTAGAGCTGGGATGGCACTTCCAAACTTCCCCGGATTGAGGTGACAGTATCGGATGTGAGTTGTCCCAGGAAATGGTGTGTGTTTGGGGGCGGCTGCTCCCTTCAGTTGAGACAAAGCAAAAAGTAGAAGCAAAAGGTAGCAGGAAAGCACTAGATGTGAATTAATAACTCAGCACATGAGTTATCTGGCTGAGCATAGAGTTTACAGAAGAGATTTGAAGGAAAGAAAGTTGGTTGAGACTGTTCATGGTTACCACTGAGTTGACTGTACCTGTTCAGGGCTGTTCCTGTGGCATTGTGTAACCACTAGGTGTTCTGTAGCTGGACAAGGCTGGATTGGAGAGCTGGGCTTCAGGAAGCTTAGCCAGACCAGAGTATATTCATAGAATCAGAGTTGGGGAGACTAGTTGGAGATGTTGGCAATAGTCTGTGGGAGATTCCTCATCTAGGAATCTAGGTATGGTGATGAAACCAGAGGGAGTTGACATAACAGCTGTGCAGTGGAATTGGTGGAAAGACTGGACAAATGACTGGGGGGCTAGGGTGAGGACAGGAGCAGAACATGATGAGCTCAGATACCGGGTGGACAGTGGTGCTGTTTAGAGAATCCGGAAGACAAACCCAGTGAGCGCCAGTTGACTCATGAAACAATAGGCTTAGGTTTCCTTGCCTGCCAGATGGGGAGAACAATCATGGCTACTTCAGTGGGCTGTGGAAAGGGTCAAATGAGGTAGGGCCTTTGGAGCAGGAGCCACTGAACAGGCACTGGCTCAGTGTTAGCTTGAGTGTAGGGATGGTGAAACCCAACAGAGCCAGCAGTGGGAGAAAGGACTGAGTACAGTTTTTCTTCTGGAGGTAATGGTAGGTAACTGGTAGGAGTATTTTTCTGGAAGCATCCAGCAAGTTCAGAGGGGAGACTCAATCCTCAGGGTGTTTCAGCTCTCATCCTGGAGCTCAGGACAGAAACTGGGACCTTGGGAGTCTAGACCCTCCCCCCTCGGGACACTAGCCTGCTTCTTTTGGGAGCTGGGGTCTGGTTGACCTCACGTCCTCAGCCTCTAAAGTAGGAGCTCAGGTTCAGGGATCTCCTTCTCCCCCAGGACCTTGCCCTACATACCACAGCAGGAAAAGTCAGAACTTTGACAGTTCACCCTGACTCGAGAGAAATAAGTCACAGAATTATCCCTGTAATAAAATGATAATAAATATGCACTTTTTTGAGATTTTATAGAACTTTCCTCATAACCTTACTTTTGTTGTTTTCATGAAGTATAATAAAATATATACCATGTGATAGTAACAGCCTGTGATTGTCCTCCTAAAATTTCTATTTTCAGCAGTTCAAACTAGTAAAATAGTCTATTTGTAGATCTTTAAGTCTTGATGCTGAATAAGAAATTTGAAATCACGTGTTTTGGTATTCAGCAGCTGTGGTACATGGATGGACTTAAATGCTCCTTGGCAGAGCTGTGTTCCTTTTTAAAATTGAAGTGGACTCCTGCTTACTAATAGTCTGTGTTCCAAAATTTCACTTGAAAGTACATTTGCAACCTATGTAACCCTATTAACCAATGTCACCCCAATAAATTTAATTTTAAGAAGTACTTTAAAATGCATTTCTCCCATATTGCCAGTGTTAGATATGTTAACTGTGGTTGCCGACCAAGCTGTAAGAGCTATTTACATGTACCTAAATATAACGTATATATACTCAATTGTATATACCTATGTATATATGTGTGCATGTGTGTGTATTTGTATATGCTTAAAATAGAGTACCAGAAATACCCTTTAATAAATTAAAAGCCCGGCCTTTAATGTAGGAGGTATTAAATCTGAGCTAATATATGCAAAACACTGAGATCCATGCCTGGCAATCTGGTGAGCACTCAGTAATTGCTGGCCATTATTATTCTCACCTGTCATGTACTCTGTGGTTTGGTGGCGGAATGAAATGAACTCTGCCCTATCAGTACAGGTGGGGAGCTCCCTGGGGAGGGGCCCTGTGTCAATCTGCAAGGTGACGATGAGTGAACCATGCATCCTCCTCCTAGACTAAATAAGACTCCCTGGTTACATTTCATTCCTTGTCTGCCTGACTGCCATGGTTAGACCTTTGGCCAAAACCAGACCTTCCCCATGAAGGAACTTAGCCTTTGTTGATAGAATGGGGCTTAGCTTTATCCATGCTGGCTACGGGCTTCCTTGTATCTGTCTGCACAGTAACCTTTTCTGGGGAAGTCGCCCTGAGGCCTTGTCTTCCCCACCACTGTTCTGGGGTGGGGCTGGGAAATGCCCATCTTCATCTGTCATTTGTCTGCCGCCCTGGTGCCTCTCGGAGCAGAACTGGAACTTGAAATGTGGTTTAGGGACAGGGAGGTATTCAAGAATGGGTCTTAGTCCAGCTGCTGACTCTAGGGCCACCTGTTCTTACCTTTTATCATCCTGGTCCTACCACTTTAAGGCTCGTGAGAAGTGGGAGTCCTAGGGCCCTAGAAATTTTTTATCTTTGGAAATTGAAATATTTTCAATAATTTTCTATTTAGCCACCTGGTCTAGTAGTATCCTTGTGCATTTAAAGAATAATATTAGGCATGAGGTTGATGAATGTGAAACGTTGACTTAATTATTTAAAAATGTAATACCCTGAGAATGGAGTTAAGGGAAAATATGTAGAAAGAGAAGATACCATGAAAAAGTGAGCAGCTTTAGCTGACTGCCTCAATATTTTCCCCCAGCGAATTCTTGCTCTTTTCAACAAGATTAAAATACTATGGGACTATAGCTTTCAATATTGTTTGAAAGTAAACTAATTTTACTTTGCTGTTGTCCTGTTTGTACTATTCTTATTTTTCCTCATTAATAGAGCAGGCATTCTCATCGCACATACTGGAACCAATAGAAGAACTTTCAGAGGAAGAAAAAGGTAACAAAGGTCTTGATCAGGGTTTATACCTGCATAGGTTATATTTAGATGCTAACACCAAGACTTGAAAATATGATCCAGTGGTTTTTAGCACACTGTGTCAAAATTAGGGAAGATGTTTATGTTTGGATTATATTTTCAATCTGTACATAGTATTTTGTCATCTTACTCCCCTAATATGCTGTTATATTTCCACCCTGATTTATTGTATTCATAGCATCTGAATAAGTTAATTTGGAAAAAATTAAGCCTTTATGTCAATGCAGATATTTTCTGATCATATGACAAGTCGACACGTGTTGTGTGCCAGTTGATATGAAAATATTTGTATTACAGTAATTATTTCTCATACCCTGAATCTGTGAAATGTACATGTGAAGTGCCCACTTCAAAAATTATTTTCAATAGAAAGGAAAGCATAACATTTAAGCTCTGAATGTGGAATATGTATGTACAGAATAATGTTTTTGGTGGAATCTGAGAGCTATGACAGGTTCAAAGAGCTAATTAAAACATTACTGCCTATTCAATTTATTTGGCAGTTCTAAAAACTATTCTCTAGAAATTAATGTTTGAAGCTTATGAAAATTATTTTACATTATTAAGAGTATTTTCCACCAAACCAGTATTACATGAAATGTTGAAGGGTATTCCATTAGAAGAGGAAGAAGAAGAAAAATAAACGGATAAAAAATATGAACAATAAAATGACAATAAATATATATCTATTAACAATTGAATCTAAAAATAAAAATAAATGAGCAAGAAATCTAATGAACAAAATAAACTGGTGAATAAAATAGAATTAGAGGCATGGAAACATGGAACAAACTGACGAATCTCAGAGGGAAGGGGATGGGGGGCGCGGGAAGAGAGTAACCAAAGATCTTAAGGACACAGACAGTAGGGTGGTGAAGGCCTGGGGCGGCTTGGAAACCAATGGGAGGGGGAGCAATGGGGGCAGGCAAGGGGACATCTGTAATACTCTTAACAATAAAAAAAAATTTTTTTTAAAGAGTATTTTCTAATGCTAGACTTGTAGTTTCTAGGACAATTATATTTGAATCCGTTTATCATAATTTTCTCCTTAGTAATGATAATATTTTACCATATATCACTTCTTTCAGAGAAGACAAATTGTTAATATTTATATGGCCTCTGGTTTTGTCATTTTTGTTAGGAAGAGAAGTAAAATTATATATCCTAATACACAGAGTCTTAATATTTGTTATAGCTTCAGTGTTCTCTAGACTTTTTCCCAAAAATTTTTAATAAGGCTGCAAATTGAGAAATGACTAAATCAGGCATATCCATAATATCTATATGATGTATATTGTCATTTAACTTTCAAGTAGCATGCTTTTTCTTTCTTACATGTCATTTATTGGTGTCTGGAACACAAAATATCTTATTCTCTGAAGAACCCATGAAATGTATCAGGAGGTTCATTAAAAAGGCCCAAAGTTTTGAAACTGGAGCCTCAGGTCAAATCGTTCACACTCATTTTAAAAATGAGTCAGCTAGGTTTCAAGAGGAATCCTGATTTGTCCACCATCAGTACTTCGGTTTTAGTTTCTACCCATTGCATCATTCTGCCCGTGTTTCTTTTAGAGTTCTTCTACCCAGAAAACGTGAGGCGTGAGTTTAGGACCATTGACGGCAAACACCATCATTGATTGTTGCCACATTTGGGGAATCAGATTGGGAAAGAAAATCTTCGCCACCATCCTTGGGTTCATACACAGCTCTGGTGGGAGGTGTACTGAGGACCATCAAAAACACCCCAGACCCCTAGCCGGTGTAGCTCAGTTAGTTGAATATTGTCCTTCGTACCAAAAGGCCCTGGGTTAAATTCCCAGCCAGGGCACATACTCAGGTTGCAGGTTTGATTCCGGCAAAATGCATTGTCAGTTACAGAAGCAGTGACCACATCCTTCCAGTGCCTCTACGGACCTAGCACGCTGGCAGCAGATTAATTGCCATCAATAAGTTCCTCAGCTTGTGCTAACATTTTGCAGATAATGCCTGTGCAACGAATGCCCTAGGGCCTAGGCAGTGGTTTGCAAAACACTGGCTGTTACCAAGAAGTAACTCATCAGGAGGACTCTTCCTTACTAATTGACAGTTGTGTAGAGGCGTACTTGATCTTGCTGTTTATAGGGTGTTAGAATGTGAGGACCAGGAGGTGGTGTTAGAGGCCATTTTTTAAATTCAGAAACTTGAAACCAGGATTAGGAGCTTGCTCCGAGTCATTGAGTTTGATTAGTGACAATGCTGTGTGGCCTTGGGGGAAGTCTCTTCACCTCTCTGGTTTTGGTGTCCTTCTGTGAAAATGAGGCGGCTCTTTACTAGATGATAAAGTCCCTTCCAACTCAAAAACTCTGCTTTTGTTTTTTACTGTTTGCTACAATTATTTGCTTACCATAAATGCTATGTTGTACGTCAGATGGACCCATCACAGGTCTGGGCTATTGCGCATTGCTCATCTGCTTTCATAAGCTTTCACATTTGTAATTAGAGGAAGTGCTGATATGTAGAAAGTTTTGCTTTGTTGATCTTGGTGAGCAATACATGCCTGAATTAAAATCTTCAGCTGTTGTTGGTTTTCAAGTGATTAATTCTATCTTTTCCCAAAAATGTGATTATCATTTCCCTGTCCACTCTACATCCTTTCTCTTGCTTCCGAAGTCCAGCTCCAACTTTCTAAGAGTCTTTCCAACCAAGGGGTTTTCTGATTTTTCATTAATGGCTTTCCAAAACCAGTGCCAACATATAAAGTGAATCTGAGGACAGAGGAAATGTTTAATCTGTGGTCATTGGGGAAACTAAGTCACCAAAAGGAACTTGTCATCATGGGTGAGGGTGAACCCAGATCAATCAGCCAAATGAATTCAGCGACTACTATCAAAGACCTTATGACTCTTCTAAACTATAACCCAGCCATTCTTGGCTTCATTTGACCCTTGCATGTCTCCTTGTGCCCCGGGGCAGACAGGGGCCCAGACTTTTCTTCAGACTGTGCTTCTGTGCAGTTCCTTTTATATCCCAGATGCCAGCCAAAAACATCATCTCTGCATAATCAGCACAGGAGGTGCTTGTATTCCAGTGTTAGCTCCAGCACTTCCAGACTGTCTCTTGGTACTTCTTTTTATTTTTAGCTATACCTATAGTTGTAGAGTCGGTGACCAACTGGCAGCCAAAATCAGTGACACAGCATGGCTGCAGCTAAACCCTCTAGATTAAAATGCATTGTCAGTTTCTAGGGCAGAAGTACCTTTTTTAGGGTGGTTTCAGAATACTGGAAAACAATGGTTGGGAAGAGCAGTGAAAAGAGCAGCATACGTGCTGAGAATATAAAATGTAAGATTACTTCTGATTTTTAATCATATTCAGTTTTATCATTTGATTTAGAAAGCCGCACTAGCAAAGTATATAAAAGCATCATCATGCAAGGTTTCCCCTCCTATTTAATGTACTAATAGTAATTTGACTAATTTTGCTGTCAGCAAACCCATTTATTAATGAACAGACAGTATTCTTTACTACTGGAATTGAGCTAGTGTTTAGAAAACATCTCAACCAAAGGCATTTTGTTTAAGATCTATACATCTAAGTGCCTTGGGCAACTAAAAATCCCATCTACTGAAATGGATGGAACAGGGAAAATGGAGTGTCTGTGGGGGCCCTCCTATAGCCCCAGATCCAGGCAGTGGTGTTTGGTGAGACTCCCCTGTTTGGAGACTAGGAGATTAGACTCCAAAATGATAATACTGTTGTATTCTCCCAGATCTTTCTTTGCACCTTCTCTAAGGGTCAGAGCTGCCCAGCATTGGTTCTCTTTCATCAAGCTTTCCATTTATTTTTTTTATTTTTTTTTTTATGAAGGACTCAGTTCTTCAAGGTCACACGCCCCTTCTCCAAATTCTCTTTAAGTATACATTTTTTAGTGGAGGCAATAAAAGAGGAATAGGGAAGGAAAAGTTAGAAGAACCTGGCCTGTTATTTTTCCTTTATTTTAAATTATAGGTTGTTTTAAGCAAAACATGCTTTCCCCAAGACTTCTGTTAACCTCTTTTTTATTTTGGTAAATATTTTAAGAGGGATAATTTCACATTTTGAAATTTCATATGAACTTGATTTCTATTAAGTTTACTATATAAAAACTTAGTTATTTAAAATAAATTGAGCTTTTTCTTTGTAAACTGATAAATAAATTCTAACTGGATGTAGGAAAAATGAATCATTCAGGAAATAGTAAAATAATTTTAGAATAAAACTTAGTTAAACTTCTAAATGTGGTTTTTTTCCCCATTGTGCTTCTTTAGAGACAAACTTCTTGCATTATTTACCTAGATATAATTCAGTTAAGGGATCAAGAAAGAGTCTTTAAAGACATTTGAAGTTTTGAAGCTGACTTAAAGTTTTAAAAGCTACAGTACTTAAGCATTATACATTGTGCTGAATGACTAAAATATCCCCAAACTTAAAAGATTACAAATGCTTACTTGCTGTTTAAAAGTTGTATTTTATCCTTTTCTACTTAGAGATTTAATGTATTTGTTTAATTGCTTTTTAAAAGCATTTTTTGAAACTTTATTTCAGGAAGGGAAAATGAACAGAAATTTAAAAACAGCAAGAACCATGTCAGGAAAGCTTGGAAGACTAACCCCTCTCTCACTAAGAAAATAAGATCAATCTTGGAGCAGAATTTGTTGGGGAAATTGGAAAGCTTGGGGATTAATGCAGTAAGTTTACTCATTTTTTGAACATTTGCTGGTTTGTTTTCTAAATAAGAAAGAATCAGAGATGAGAAGAAGACATGTCAGTTCTCTCCACATTAGGGGACTAGAGGTTAATGCACCTTTCCAAGAGCTTCATGAATATTAAATCATTTAAACATAGAAACAAATCTCTGAGGTAAGTGACAATAGTATCTCCATTTTAAGAGAGGTTAAGTAACTTGCTTCAGGTCACACAGCTAATAATGAAGGAGCTAGGGTTTGTATCTCCGCCGTTGCCGTGCTGCTTACATTCTGCTATTAACTTCAAAATCAACACTTAAGCAATACTTGTTAAATGAATGGGTAAATGAATTATATTTCATGTTTTTACCAGATTGAATTATTCCGGTACAAAATGTCATATATATTATTTGCTTTTTACATTTTTATTGATATACATAAAATATATAAATCTTAAGTGAACAACTTGAATTTATGTACCTACATATATGTATTTACATATGGATGTGTATAGTGTTTGTGTAAATAGATCTGTATATACACACATGTATCTATGTGTAGACATGTGCATGTATATATAGATATGCGTGTGTGTACATATGTGTTCCTGTATGTATGCATATAATCATGTGTGTATATGAATTTGTGTGTATATGTCTCTGAGTGAGTGTGTGTGTGTGTGTGTGTGTGTGTGTGTGTGTGTGTGCGATCTGTACCTACCACCCAGATCAAGATATTGATCATTTTCAAAACCTGTTCCTTAGTCAATATCACCCCTTTTTCTTCAACAACAGGTAATGGTTATTCTGACTTAATTTTGCTTGTCCTTGAACCTCATGTGAATGAAATCACACATCATGTAGCATTTTATATATGAGTTCTTACGCTTATGATTTTGTGTATAAGATTCATATCTGTTGTTTCATTTCGCAGTGGTTTGTAGTATAATATGCATTTTACTGCCTGAATATGCTACACTTTACTCCCTATTGATGGACATGTGGACTTCTAATTTGCGGCTCTTTTTGACCACTACATTCTTACACATGTCTTTTGATGGACATAGGCATTCTTTTCTCTTGGATATCTATCTGGGAATGAAATTTCTGAGTTTCGTTTTAATCGGTGTAGCCAAATAGTTTTTCAGTGTTTGTACCAATGTACACTATCCCTATCAGTGCATGAGAGTTTCAGTTGCTCTTTCACCAACTCTTAGTGTTGTCAGTCTTTTAAATTTCCATAGGCTCTTTTTTCAGGTGGGGTTTGACCATTCCTTATCTCATCCTGGGATAATTGACTAACTTTATATTTTATTCCTTCAGGATACACGTGGTATTCCAAGCGATCAATTGAATAGAGTGCTAAGAACCATGGAATCAAAAAGACATAATCAAGAAAGACAGATGCCTAACATTCAGCAAATTCGAGAATCCCTTGAACATCAGGTCAGCTCTAAAATTGAGGAGAGAATAGTACTGACTTCAGGTAAGGCTGTTACTAACCGCCATTTCATTTCTGCAGATGGAAGTGAAATTGAACAACCTTTTCATAACTTTAAATGGTTCACAAACTTTGGCACTTAATTTGTGACTTTATTGTTGTCTGAACCATTAAGTGTTGGTTTTTGTATTTTGTTTTTACATTTAAGAGAAATCCTTTAATGCGGGCTCTAGACCCTAGAGATGGGCTTGCTCATTTCAGTGCCAGCATAGACAGTATTACAGTCTTTTCTTCTGCTTTTCATGCACTGAAGACTCATGAATAACACTACTATTCCAGACAGGTACAGTGGTTCTCAAGGGGAAACCCTTTCAACTGGAGAAGTACCCAAAGCAGTACAACTTCCTCCCAAAAGCAGACAGTTGATTAAACAAAGACCTGTTTTCACGGATAGAACATCTGTCCCAAAGTGAGTATTTTCCAACCCTAAAATTTTTACATGAATGCTTGTCTTAGCTTGGGCTTCCATAACAAAATATCATAGACCAGGCGGCTGAAACAATGGAGATTTGTGTTCTGACACTTCTGGAGGCTGGATGTCCAAGATCAGGATGCCAGCTAGCCAGTGAGGGTTCTCTTCCTAGACGTGCAGATGGTTGGCTGCCTTCTGGCTGTATCCTCACGTGCTCTGGTCTTTCTTCCTCTTCTTACAAGGATACCAATCCCCTCACGAGACCCCCACCCTCATGGCCTCCGACCTAATTACCTCTCAAAGGCCCTTTCTCTAGCTACCATCACTTTGTTGGGGGTTAGGGCTTCAACATGATTTTAGGGGGACACAAACATTCAGCTCACAGCAATGTTTAACCCAACAGAGAACCATAGTTGCAATTTCTACCCATCTCTCATTGGTACTGGGAGACTCTTGTTGCTCACCCTCTTTAATATACGTTAAAAGCAAAAATCACCAATTCCATAGAAATGTATGTTAAATTACATTATTCACTCATGCTGTTTAGAAATAGTTTTCTTTTGTTTTGTTTTTTTTTAGAATTAAGAAAAATATCACAGAAGATCATTTTCCCAGAAAGTCTTCAAATATTACGTGAGTAGAGTACTTGGGTTGGGGAGAGGTTATTTAAAAAATTGTTTCCACTGAACATCCCTTTCATTGTAAATTAGTATGCTCATTGTGGTTAACTAAAGCCTTAATTATTAAATGTCATAATTAATTTGTTATTCCTTTTTGGCATTTATTTGTTTCTTTATTAGTTTTTATACAATATAATAGTGCTTATCACATTGTGGCTCCCATTAAGAAGTGGAACCAACCCTAACCAGTTTGGCTCAGTGGAGAGAGCGTCGGCCTGCAGACTGAAGGGTCCCAGGTTCAATTCCAGTCAAGGGCATGTACCTTGGTTGCGGGCACATCCCCAGTAGAGGGTGTGCAGGAGGCAGCTGATCGATGTTTCTTTCTCATCGATGTTTCTAACTCTCTATCCCTCTCCCTTCCTCTCTGTAAAAAATCAATGAAATATATTTTTAAAAAAGAAAAAAAAGAAGTGGAACCACCCTGAGTCACTTCCATTATCTCCCCCCCCCCCCCCCCCCCGCAGTATCTAGTAACTTTCAATAAGCTTGATAAATTGAAGGAATGATGTTGACTTTTCATGGCTGGTGTGGCCAGATGATATTTTAGCATTCTAAGGCTCTCTTAGGGTACTAAGAATCCTAGCTCAGTCAGTCATTACCTGTGTGCCATTGATTCAATTGAGTCCCAGTTTTAAATTCAGTGTTTTTTAAAAAGATTTTTTTTTCTTTTTTTTTTTTTTAAGAGAGAAAGGAAGGGAAAAGGAGAGGGAGAGGGTAACATCAACATGAGAGTGAGACATCTATCATCTGCCTCCTGCACGCCTCCTACTAGGGATTGAGTCCGTAATCCGGACATGTGCCCTGACCAGGAATTAAACTGGCAACCTTTTAGTACATGGGACAACACCCAGCTCACTGAGCTACACTGATCAGGGTTAAGTCTCAGTTTTCTTATCTGTAATATGGGATGATACTGCCTTTTCTACAGCATAGTTATATAACTTAGTAAGAATATATGAAAAGGGCTTGGCCTCAGTGCTTGGCACTTGTGGGTACTCAATAAATTATATTACTGTTATTAATTATGAGGAAAACTAATTTTATAATTGAATTTCATTATCATTGCCTTATTCTAGAGATATAGATACTATAAATCTGTACATTGATGCCTTATGTACATATGTAAATATATATAGATAGTAGAGAAAGTAGAAATATAATATAGTAGAGACAATATAAATAATGCCTTAGCCTTCAAAAGCTCTTTTCATTTTCATAATCTCAGGGGAAGAGCTTTATTTCATGGGATATAGTATAACTAAACAATGTCTGAAATCTAACTGTTCAGTGAATATTTTTTGAATGAATGAACACTGCTCTGAACTTTCATTTCCCTTTAAAATGGGGTGACAATTCATGTGGTTATACAAACGAGATTGTAAAAGCGCTTTGTAAGATACAGTGTAAAGGTAAGTTATAAATAATGACACTATTTTTAAAGGTGAAGTAGTTTTATTGTCAAAAATATTTTTTCCGACTGAGAAATATTTTTCTGAGGTATGTAAAAACCAAGAATGTTAAGAATATACAAGTTTGGATTTAGAGGAGGAGTGTCATAGCTTCAGTCCATTTTGGTATTTATGCCAAATGGTTGTCAGGTCTGGATTTGAAATGACTTTCCAGCCTTTTGCAGAAGTCCTGGCCTTGCCGCCATCTCTTCTCCGCCACACCCTTTGTTTGTTAAGCTCCTGGGAATTACCTGAGAAAGTTCCCACCACTTTAAGAGGCATTATCATTTGTAAATCCTGGAACTTATGAAAACAGCACCCTCTGTTTGATTTGTTTAGGTCGCCTCCCTTTAGTTCTGAGGAAGACTTGGATGCTGGCGACCTTGTCCAGGCATACACATCCCCAGAGTTACCTCTTGTGCCGCCGTCGAAAAACAACAAGAGTAGCTTTGGAAGGAAAACTGTCAAGAATGACACTGACTGGACCGAAGGCAGTGAAATTGATGACTCTGATATTTCTCCCAAGCCCATGGGTGAGCTTTTATCATTAAAAGTCCTTTTGGAAATTTTGTTTAGGGCAGTGGTTCTCACCCCGGGGCAGCCAGCACAGGCAGTCTGAGCTGGAAATGTGCTTGAGGAAAGGACAGGGCTTATCCAAAAGCTACCGCTGCCTCAGGAAAACGGACAGGGCTTTACCACAAATGATAGTCACATGGAAGGAGAGGAAGGATTCGGGAATGCCTGGGTCTATTAGTCTCCTTGGGCTGCTATAACCACGTACCAGATACTGGGGGGCTTAAACAAATGAATGTGTTGTCTCATAGTTCGGAGGCTGGAGGGCCAAAATCAAGGAGGCCAAGTTAGTTCCTACTGGGGCCGCCGGGATCTCTCATGTCTCCCTATCATCACATGGGCCTCCCTCCATGAGTGCCTGTGTCCAGATTCCCCATGTTTGTAAGGGTACCAGTCATCCTGGATTTGGGCTCACCCAAATGACCTCACTTTCGCTTCATTATCTCTTAAAAGGCCCGGTCTCTAAATAAGGTCACATTCTGAGGTATTGGGGTTAGGACTTCAACATATGAATTTAGAGAGACACAGTCAACTAATAAAATTGGGTGACTATAAGAATGACTATTCTAATACATTCTGCTTTCGGAGATGGGGCAAGTCTAAAGGAACATAAGGTCCAAGTCTGTAACTGTTGTTAATTTGCTGAAGAGAAATGGTACTCTAGGTTCACTTAAAAAAAAAAAAAATCTGTTTAATATAATTTTTAAAATATATTTTAACCATATCAGATGTAAATCAGTTTTGGTATTCTATATATATATATATATATATTTTTATAATTGTCTAAAATATAACTAATTCATTTAAAATAATTAATATTGTTTTTGAAAATACCCATATGAATATTTTATTCATGTAGGTTACCTCACTGAAATTTTTTTTAATATATTTTTTATTGATTAAGATATTACATATGTGTCCTTGTCCACACGTTACCCTCTAACCCCCCCCCCCCCCCCCGTGCTCATGTCCTCACCCCCCCCACCCCCCGTTGTCCGTGTCCATTGGTTAGGCCTATATGCTTGCATGTAAGTCCTTTGGTTGATCTTCCCCCTTACCCCCACCCTCCCCTACCCTCCCTCCAAAGCCCGACAGTCCAATCAATGCCTCTCCGTCTCTGGATCAGTCCTTGTTCATCAGTTTATGTTATTCACTATATTCCACAAATGAGTGAGATCATGTGGTATTTATCCGCTCTCCAGTTCCATCCATGCTGTGGCAAATGGTAAGAGTTCCTTTTTCTTCTTCCTCTTCTTAAAGAATACCTTTCAGCATTTCATATAATGCTGGTTTGGTGGTGATGAACTCCTTTAGCTTTTTCTTATCCGTGAAGCTCTTTATCTGACCTTCTATTCTGAATGATAGCTTTGCTGGATAAAATAATCTTGGTTGCAGGTTCATGCTGTTCATCACTTTGAATATTTCTTGCCACTCTCTTCTGGCCTGCATGGTTTCTGTTGAGAAATCAGCTGACAGTCGTATGGGTACTCCCTTGTAGGTAACTGACTTTTTTTTCTCTTGCTTTTTAAGATTCTCTCTTTGTCTTTTGCTCTTGGCATTTTAATTATGATGTGTCTTGGTGTGGTCCTCTTTGGATTCCTTTTGTTTGGGGTTCTCTGCGCTTCCTGGACTTGTAAGTCTATTTCTTTCACCAGGTAGGGGAAGTTTTCTGTCATTATTTCTTCAAATAGGTTTTCAATATCTTGCCTTCTCTCTTCTTCTGGTACCCCTATAATTCTGATGTTGGTACGCTTGAAGTTGTCCCAGAGGCTCCTTACACTATCTTCATATTTTTGGAATCTCTTTTCTTTTTCAGTTGGGTATTTTTTGTTTCTTTGTATTTCAAATCTTTGACTTGATTCTTGGGATCCTCTTGTCTGCTGTTGGATCTCTGTAAATTATTCTTTATTTCAGTCAGTGTATGCTTAATTTCTAGTTGGTCCTTTTTCATGTCCTCCAGGGTCTCACTATACTTATTGAGGGACTCATAAAATTTATCGGCGGTTTCCATAAAATTCTTGAAAAACCTTATAAACGTGGCCTTGAACTCTATATCCAGTCATTTGCTTTCCTCCATTTCTGCCATTTGTGACCTGTTTCTTTGTCTCCACATTTTGGCTGCTTCCCTGTGTTGATAGAGTGGCTTTTTGTGCTAGGTGTCCTGTAGGGCCCAGTGGCTCAGCCTCCCCAGTTACCTGAGGTAGCTATGCCTTGGTTGTTGTAGGATCACTGGGAGGAATTGACCTCCAGGCCAAATGGCAGTGAGAATCAGATGTGTCTGCAGTGGGAGAACTTCTGTGCTGGAGACACCCTTCTGGGGCAAGACTTGCTTCAGTGGGGCTTTGGTGTTCACTGCACCCTGAGTGTGTCCCTTATGGATCTGAGGAGTTGTGATCTGGATGGTCCCCCTCTGAACACTGGGTATAGTGGCTCTTGGATCTAAGGGGTGCTAATTTAGCCTCTGCCTGAGGTTACACAGCAGGAACTACGAAGAGAACTGCAGATTCCCCTTCCTTTTTTGGCCCTGATAAGGCTCAGCTGTGAAGCAATGCAAGCCGCTGTGGGGCCTTGGGCCTTCTCTTGGAAGTTCTGGGTCTATCTGGCCAGGCTGCAGTTAGGTAATTACAGGTTACAAAGGGCCGGGGCATTCATATGCAAAAGCCTCTGCCGCAGCCTGGGTGGGGCGGGGTCTCAAAGAATCAAAGGGCGGAGCAAGCAGCTATGGCGGAGCCTCAGCCCTGCCCTAAGGAGTCTCGAGTCTCACTGTCCCGGTAACAGCTGCAAGCACCTCTGAGAGAAAGCCGCCCTCAAGTTTGCCCGCTGCCAAACAGTCCAGTTTCTCCCCGTATGAGTCCTGGGTCCCCAGAGACTTCCCAGAACCGGAGTTCAGAGCCGTCGGGAGCTTGTGACTCCCTCCAGATTCAAAAAGACAGCCGCGTCCTCAGGTGCCAGCCCTTTTCCGCGCGCACGTGAGCCCCCTACCTCTGCACTTTACTTCTGCAGCTCCTCTGGCTCTCAGTGTGCTTTTCTTTCCTTCTAGTTGTAGAATTTACACTCAGCCATCCCTCCTGTAGTTCTGGATGATGTCCGTTTTGTGTTTTTGACGTATTTTTCAATTGTTGTGGGAGGCAGCAATTTCCCGGTGTTTATCTATGCCGCCATCTTAGTTTTTATCTACTTCACTGAAATTAATGTTTCTGATCAGAACTTGAATGAGACCATCCTTCTTTGATTTAAAATGAAAATTTTTGGTGGGTGCATAGTGCATATACAGATCTTGTAGCATAGAAACTCACACACCTGAAACCTATATGTTCATGTCGACCAAAGTCACCCCAATAAATTTAATAAATAAAAAATAAATAAGATAAAAAATTTTACTGCTCCTAGTCTAGAGAGCCATTATTTTTAAAGGAAATTATAAGTATTTAATGTAGCATTTTAAACCCCAAAATACATCAATTGAGTTTAATAGTACATACTTATTTGCAAAGCTTAAACTCAAAATTGCTTGTTAAGTTATTTTGGAACTGAAGATAGATACAAGTTTTTTAAACTTTTCCTATTTTCTGTTGGTCATATAGGAACCTCCATTAAAACATTAACTGACAAAGTTGAAAAGACGGTTTCAAATCAAAGAAATGTGAGTAAGCCAGTTGGTGGGATTAATGTTGCTGAAGCATTTGTCAAAAGAGAATTTAAAGAAGAACTAAAGGTGAAATCATTTTTACTTGCTAACTATAGAGAATTTCATCGTAATTTTATTTTTTGTAGTATAGAGGTTGAGATTTTTACCTTTTCTTGTTTTCAGTATTGCCTTTCTTCCCATTCCATAGAGAATCAAAGATATTGGAATGATAACTGGTAACAATGTCTTATGCTTATCAAACTACAGCTTTTCAGAATCCTGTCCTGTGTGTTGATGCTTACAGATATTAGATGGTTTGTCCTCAGAAACTTGTTTCAGCCTAGAATCTGGGGCCTCTAGATCTGAATCCAGAGACTTTTCTGCTGCCATGGTGTGACCTGGAAGTAAAATAGGGACTTTTCAGGGTTTAGTCCAACTCAGTAGTTGGTGGAGAAATCCTTCAGTAGTTGGTGGTGAACCGAGAGGAGGGCAGAGCCTGAGCAGAGGAGAGGCCCTTACACGTTCCGAGCAGTTCCAACACCCAGGGCACCGGTGTTTCTGTGGAGGAAGATCTCCCTTTGTATTTCTGGCACAGCTCAGACGTGTCGACAGGGTCTTCTAGTAGTAGTCGTTCTTTGCGTCATTTTTCACTTAGATGAATTCTTTTCCTGTTCATCTATGGAATCCAGAGCATTCTGTCAAACTCCATTTATTAGTTAGTGCTATTTGTTTTACACCAGCCAAATATGACAAAAAGCCATGTATGTATTTCCAGGCAGAACGCACGTGCCTCCCTTAGAAAGGCTGTGGTAGGTAGGCAAGTCCTTTCAGGCAGGGGCTATGCCTGAGGGCCCGCGTGCAGATTAAATGTCGTGATCGCAGGTAAGAGCTCCAGAGCTGCCCTAGCTCCTACTTTGGGGAGCATCCTAACTTTATTTCTAAAAGGCAGTGTTTCTGGAGTTTTCCATATTTATGATTGGTAGAGTAGAAAACATACGTTTCCATGGCAAGAAACAAAAAAGGGTTTTTTTCTTCCAACATGGATTTCTAAATCCATTTCCAGAAATGACCAGAGCATGGATCCTCTGATGTTCCCAGCTTCATATCGCTCCGTGTCAGCAGCTCGTCTGGCCAACAAAGTGACGTGTGCCACTTCTTTAGGAAACATTATTCTCCATGTATTTCTTTTAGTGCTCAGATGTGGATGATGACGACTGGGACATATCATCCTTAATAGAAGAAAAGTCTCTGGGGAAAATAACCGGGAAAGAGCAGAGAGAACCTCCGCCTGTGAAGCATGAGTCACATTTGGCTCAAGTGCCAACTGCCTGGGGTGCACCAACTCCTAGAGGGCCAAAGAGAGAAGGTGTGCTACTTTGGTGTCTTGCAGAAGCTCGGTCCATTTTCCAATTACTGCGTTTCATCTTTATAAATATCTAATTAAACTATGCAAATATATCCTCAGACAGAAACACTGTTGGCATAACAAAGACCTCGATGCTTTATGTTATTTTAATAAGGACTGAATATGCACAACTTACTGATTTGTGTATATTTACTAATTGTTTTTATTTACTTTTAGAACTAATCTTTAGTATTTAAATTTTTACATTATTTTTGAAAATGCCCATATAAATATACTCTTCATGCAGGTGCCCCATAAAAATTAAAATTTCTCTGGCTCTTGCACAGACACTGAATGATAAACTGCGGTAGGAAGGAATGGATTTTCCAGGCTGGACAATGCGCTTGTTTAATCATCGGGGCCTCCTCTTCCTCCTTCTCTCTCCCCCCACAGGCCTTCAAGATGAATCAAGCACACTGAAAAGCAGCTTAGTAACTGTGACTGACTGGAGTGACTGTTCAGATGTATAGCTACCTGTGTAGCTCCACAGGTCAGAAGACCCAGGTGCCAGCAGTGTGTCGGCATCGCCGTATGTCAGTAACTTGCCAACATGATACTAATGCTCCTGCCTTAGAGCGTGTTCCACAATAAATAGGAAGCTGCTTCAGAGAACAAGGGTCTCTTTAATGGCGCCTAATACAGTATTGAGAAACAAATTGTCAACAGATTTTGAAGCATATAAAGTGTTTAAGACTTCTGCTTAAAAATGGCGTGTCGTTGAAGTCATAAAAAGGTTTTTCTTCAGAACGGTACAATAGCGTTTCAGTGTATTTTTTTCCAACTAATTTTTAAGTGAGAACTTTTTAATTACAGCAGGCTTTGGTTTGACTTAAAACTTTATGTCTTTCTTATGTATGTTATCACATTGGAAGTGTTTTATTATAAAATTCTGTTCGTATCCTTAAAACTGAATTAGTGGAGTCAGTGAAATCTTAAGGGTAGATTGATTATTTTTTCTTATAGAAGTTTAGAACTATAAAAATATAGCTAGGCCCATGTTAAATACATTTCCCAGAAGTACCTTTACCACGTTCAACTTTGATCCATTGTAAGCATGTTGTTAAAAAACAATTATTTTTTAACTTTACCATTTCTGCAGCATAATGTTTAGCTTGGATATTTTATGAATAAAATGTTACTATTTTCAAGATGGATTCAAGAATTAGTTCTCTCATCTTCTCTAGCTAGGCCTTCTCCACCAATAAACCTTTCTTTGCTCCAAACCCTGATCTATTGAGTATTGGACTTTCTTTTGAAGCATTGGCACACGAGCAGCCAGGAGCTAGAGTTCCTAGTGGATTGGCCCCCACTGTGCTGACCGCCTATATTGTGCTGCACCGCTCTCCCCACCCCCCCCCCCCCCCCCCCCGCACCTCACCCCCTCCTGCACTTGTCATATTTGGAGTAAGGAAACATCTTTGGACTTTGGTCAATTGTCTGTGTGATATAAGCAACCTTCCCCCTCCCCACCCCCCCCGCCCCCAGCAGTTTGGTAAATGATACCTTTGTAAGCAATTTTGAAGCATTTAACATTTATATTTTTCTCCCTGCCTAATCCCTCAAGAAGTTTGGAGACTTTGAATGATTATTATTATTTTCACGGCAACATGGTTGTTTGCATAACATTCTATAGGAATCTGTTTTCTCTATAATGGGACACAGATTAGAAACCCTTGATGAGGCTTTGACTGGAATGTCATGTTTGAAGGAGACATGCACAGACTGTGGATCTCCCCAGAAAGCTCTAAGGAATTGAGGTTGACTTCTGAGGCTGATCAGAGCCCCTTGGAAAAACAGCCTGGTACCTTTCTTACATGGTTCGTGGCAGTCTTTCCAGGTTGCTTTCTTGGGAGATGGCAAAGGAAGACCCTGAGGACATTTTGGGGGACCTCGAGAACCTGAGGAATTCACTCCAATCTATAGGTATTACAGGCAAATGCTGATGGCAACTATGTGGCTTGGCTTCTCAGCCATGAGGCTAATCTGGAGATTCCTTATGAAATTCCAGCAAAGCAGATATATAAGCAATTGCTGTTCTTGTTGTACTTATGCAAATCACAGACCAAATTTACTGAAACTAGACTTATGCAATGGATTAGTCTTCACTTGGCTATCTTTGATAAAATGAGGGTGATTTTCGAGAGAGAAATTGTTTCAATTGAAACCATAATGTACAATTGTGGATATTAGGTTATAGCTTGGTTAACTGTCCTCAAAATTTTATTTTTTTCACCTGTGGACAGGACTGGGTCCTGAATTTTTCTAGCAAAAATGTTTGGCTGCAGCCCTCTTAACTAGTGTTTTACTTTTCTCCCTTCCTTTGCCCTGGAGTTATTGAGAACTAAAACTTTATTCTGAGCCTTGCATATGCAGACTGTAGTTAGATGATAGAATGTAAACTTCGGAGAAATCTTCACAACAGCTCACATTTGATGGTTTAGGTGACAGATGCTGTGTAAGCCACAGAGACAGCTGATGTTCGGACTGCAGATCAGTGTAATCTGTCGAATTTCACTGCCTGCCTTCATTCCCGCAAAAATGAAGCTCTGAGCCTTTCATCTGGGGGGGGGGGGGGTCTTCTAGACTGACAGCCTTACAGACTCAGAGACTGGCTTATGGTTTGCTTTGATCCTTACTTAGGGTACATGTATCCTGGCCTACTGTTTCTTTCACCATTGCTGTGGTCTCTGCTTGTAAACCGTACACCCAAAATGTACACGCTAAGGCTCAGGTGGGCGTGTGAGATTATAAGGGCCAGAATAGGGGCACCCATGGGCAGACAAATCTTACTACTAGCTAATCCTCCCTTGGTGTTGAACCTGGGTCCAGTTGCTCTATTTCCCTCAAGATTGAGGAATGAACAGAATGGGGGAACTGTAACAATGAAATTCTTCTCACTGATAGCCTTCAGAGAGATATACTACCGATATGTTAATTAACTAGCAGAATCCTGCTTGAGTCTTGAGCAGCAGCCCCCCTCCCCAACTCCCTTGTCAGCAAAGAGGTGGGGAAACATGCACAAAGTAATGACTGTTTTTCAAAATTCACAGGAGTCGCCATAACTGGACTCAGACCAGTGGGCATCAGTGGACCAACTGGGAACAAAGGGATTGAGAAATTTCCCACTTTTCCTTGGATCCCTTTTGAGGCTTACCTGTCTATACCAGCACCCACCCCTTGCCTTGCCCCTCCTCCCTTCCCTTAGGAACAATAGATGCCTGGATTCCAGACTCTCTTAAGAAGGATTTGATAATTAGTTTTCCCATCTTCTAGATAGAGCTAGGACTTCTCCATCAATAAACCTTTACTTGCTCCAAAAAAGAAAAGAAAAAAGCTGTTTTAAGTGTCAATTAATTTATCAAAATATGAATAAAAAAGATTGTCATCACTGAATTCATGTGTATGTAGTTTTTGTTCCACTTTTTAAAAATGCCCAACCCATGTTACAAAATGCCTCAAAACTAATTTAGTTCTATTCTTAACAATGGCATTGTCAATGGTCAGAAAGTTCATATAAAGTGTTTTTGCATTTTTCATACTTTGTGATTCTATCTGTACTCTTTCCCAAAAGTAACATTTTAACCATATGGTTTGTTGGGTTTTGGGTCTCTTCATTTTGTCATCCTTTTTAGTAAAGCCCTCCATTACATCATTGTGACTGTGGCTGAGTTACTAGAGATGATTTCTGAGTTAAACTTAATCTTGTTAGGGGATTTAAGCTTGCCTTGTTGGTTATGCCATATAACATCCTGACCTAAAGTTAGAACAATTTACCTATTTCTGTCCCCTTCCCCCTGTCTTTTTACTTGTAGTCCACTATCATCCTTTTACAAACTTCCCACAGGGAACACTTTATGTAAATGTGCACACTTTATATGTAAGTTCTAAAACTTTTAATAAAAGCTGAATAAAATTTTGCTGCAGTGGGACAGAGACAAGCAACCTACAAAAACACACCGTGCCTAAGAAGGCACGCAGGCACACGGGCCACTGCGTTCATTCATTCAGTTGTTCATTCATTCAGTCATGAGATCTTAAACTACTTGGGCTTGTGTTGTTGTTGTTTTCATGCATTATTAGTTCACTTAATTAGATAAGCTTTGAGGCATAGTTATTGGGATAATCCTCACCCTAAAGATGTTCTGTGTCTACCAGAGAAAGTGCTGGGGAAATTGATGAACTTCTGCTAAGTACACCCAACATTTAACCCCTAGAGTGCCGGGGAGCGAGATCGCGCTCCTCCTGTCTTTCGCCAAAAGTGCCGGGAGCGCTATCAAAGCTTCGAAATGGCAAATGGCGTCCAGTCAATGTAGTAAAGCTTTCCTTAAGTTTTTGAATATGTAACTTCATTTACTGGCGATTCATAATTTTTTTTCCTAAACTGCTGTAAAATCAGCAAAAATGCCTTGGCAATTTTAGCATAGTTCCTAGGATATTGGTTGGCACCCAAAGGGTTAAATTTAGTCGCTACATCTGTGTGGTAAAACCCAATGCTTTAACTTATCTGTTTAGGCCTATCATTTTGTCTGCTAGATCTGGTGTGTTCATTTTTCTTTGGACCATCACCTTACATTTCCCTTCACTGAGGCACAGCTCTGGTTATTGGCAGAGCTTTTCCATACTTGTACTCCCTCTTCTCTCTAAGTTCCACAGGAGCTAGAATAGTTCTGTGATAGGCACCTCTCTCAGACACCAGAGAGGTGTTACCAGACAGCCCCCTGAGTCAGAGGGAGAGAGCTGTCCCCGCCTCGATTCTTGTCATGCTCGTAGGAATGAATTCAAACAAGTGACTCCAGATAATTGCATTGTGATGAAGCCAACTTATTAAAGTAAGTGAATGTATTAAAGAAGCAAGGCAAACAAATCTACTAAACTACATCTGAGTCTGGTGAGGGTTCAAGTGGTTATATACCCTTCTATCTCTAGATTTTAAAATTCCTTTGCTAGATATCCTGGTACAGGTTAGCTCTGAAGGTCTCTCTCCCTCTACTTTGTTATGGTTTTCCCAGAATTTATGAGAAGCACCTGGCAATTAAGTCCCGCGGCTGCTGGCTTCTCTGTTTAAATAGTGGAATGAGATAAGACTGCACTTTTCCTTCCCCCTCTTCCATCCTCTTTGCGGTCTTTCAGTAGTTCCAGGGTGATTTAAGGTATGTATTCTCTAGTCGCATTAAAATTCCTCCTCCTCTCCCCCTTTTCTTTCCCTTCCTCTCCTGCAGTCTTTGGAATCTGCTCTCCAGCATTCTTGGTTGGGGGAAGATAAGGGTTTGCTATTTACAATCTGGCTACAGGTGGCCAAACTGTTAGGCCTTATTTTAATTTTTTTTGTCTCAGTTTCCCTATTCCTCCTGCCTTGGAATTTTCCTAGCTTCTTACTATCCTACTAGAGGCCCAGTGCATGAAATTTGTGCATGGGTGGGGTCCCTTCTCCTGGCCAGTGATTGGGGCCTGTCAGGGCCATCTTGCCCAGTGCTGATCAGGGCAGTTCGGGGCTGGGGAGGGGCCATGGGAGGGCTCTAGGGCATGTCCAGCTCCATCTCGCCCAGTCCTGATTGGCCAGACTCCAGCAGCAAGCTAACCTACTGGTTGGAGCATCTACCCCCTGGTGGTCAGTGCACATCATAGCGACCGGTCGGTCAACCACTTGGTTGGACACTTAGCATATTAGGCTTTTATATATATAGATAACAGTTCAGTACAACTTAAACATTATCTCTACTAGCACAACTCAGAAATTTTAAAATTTGTTTTAAACACACTTAAGAAAACCCTGCCCTTATACAGCCGTGGCACCTGATTTCCCTTTATTGCTTCCAGTTCATTTATATCCCTGGAAAAAATATTTCAAGTATTATCATGGTTGAAATGGTTGAATACACACACACACACACACACACACACACACAATTTTGGGGGGGTAACAAACATGTTCATTTCCTTTTCTTTTCACTGAGAACTTCCAAACAATGTGATTTTCCTTTTAAGTCTTTCATGCTTCAGAAAAAAAATGTTATTTTCACCCATGCTGTGATTAGTATCGGAAAGTGTCTTGCTCACAGAGATACCAACTCTTATGCAAAGCTTGAAACTATATATTTTACCCTTGACTGCCTCAGTTCAGAGTCCTTGATTTGTCACTGACTGTGGCAAGTCACTTAAACACTTTCATTTCCTCCTCTGTCAAATCAGGATCCTAACAGTACTTTACTAAGAGGGCAGTTGTGAGGCT